GGGGGGGGGGTAGGGGGGAGGGCCGCGCGCCGCGGCGAGGGCGGTGAGGATGGGCGAGAGCTGGTCGATGCGCTCCACAAGCGTTGGACCTGCACACAGCACACCGCTTCGTCGCCTCGCAACCCTCAAGTCTGCCCCCGCCCCCGCTCCCGCCGCTGCCCCCACTGTGGTGCTGCACGAGGCGTGGCCACCAGGGAGGGCGGGGAGCGTGTGCGAAGCGTGGCCCGGGTGAAGTCTCTCTGCTACGGCGCGTGCCCCAGAACGGAGGCGGTGGGAGCAGCTCTCCGATGTGCGGCGCGATCTGGGCCGCGTGGGGCGCCAAGGTGGCGCCGCGCGAGGCGAGGTGCCTGCGAGACAGGGTGCCGCGCCGGCAGGCGAGGGCGTGAGGACGCGCTAGCCCAACGAGGTGCGGGCAGGCGCCGAGGGGCGCACACCCATAGTAAGGCCGCAGGTACCTCAGGTGCGGAGCCAGGTGGCGAACGGCCTGCCGCGCAGCGGGGGGTGGGCAGCAGGGGTGGGTGGAGGCGAGGCGTTTGCAGTCGCCGCCGCAGCTCGTGGGATCTCGAGGAGGATTGTGGGCTGAGAACCGCACCGGCACGAGGGTTGCACGATGCTCGGCGATGCCGTCGATGTGGCGTTGGAGGTGCGGCAGCTCGTCGAGCAGCGTGCCGAGGTAAGGCAGCAGCGCGGGTAGCTCTTCGAAGAACGCGTCAGCATGCGTGCCGAGCAGACTGGCCCGCTCGAGGAGCCGGTGCAAATGCGGGGCCACGGCATTCCAATGGCGCTGCAGCATCGGTGCATGCCGACGGAGCAGTGGCGCGTGACGAAGCAGCATCGGCGTTCTGCCCACCAACTTGGCAATGCCCCCGGCGGCCGCGACGTCCTGCATAGTGCTCGAAATCCGCAGTCTCCCGCCCACTGGCGTCACGAGGTCAGCGAGCCCCGGATCGTCCTTCCAAAATCCTGCTCGTACAAGTGGAGACCCTGACCCTGACGGCCGGGGCCGGCGCCGCTCGGTCACTCTCCCGCACCGGCGCGCTCTGATCGCGAAGGATTCCTAGAGGCGCGGGTTCCCAGGATTTTGCTCTTTATTCATCTGTCCGGCGTCCACCGCGTTGGTGTCGTACGTACGTACTTTTAGCTCTCTCTCTCTTGGTGTCCAGTCCGAGCCTGGCTGTTCTTCACCTTTCTAATGTATGTAAAAGGATAAAAGGATAAAGCATTTTTTAAGGGACGATGGGTTAAAAAGATGCTTGAAAAGGATCTGCAAGTCGCCCCCGCCCCCGCCCATGGGCATGGCTTGGCCTGCACGTACTTTTCCTCTTGCACCCCGGCCTTTTTTCTTTTCCCCTCTCTTTTCCTCTCTATTTCCCCGGGAAAACTCCATAGATCGTCAATTTTTGTCTGGGCCGAGCGAGTACCTATCTGCGTGTTTTTTAGCAATGTTGTTTGTGTTTGCCTATCTGAGGCTGTGTTGGGGCCAAAATCAGTCAGCACGAAATCGGCAGCATACGGGTATTTTGGTTTTTGCGGGTATACCTGGAATACCTGGAAAATGCTCGGGTAGTTTGCCGATTCATCCTCAACGTTGCCTCAGATTTTGCCCCGACCAGCTCTCAGACTCAGAGAGGGAAACTCTCTCGCGCGAGAGAGAAACAGAAATCAGAATGGAGAGAGCACCAAACACCCTCTCGCGTTTACTGTTTTCGCCTGGAAATTTCCGGAAACGCAAAGACCAAAGTGCTGGGGACCCTCTCTTTTCCTTTTTGTTTGCCGGAAAAGTACGTGCAGACCAAGCCATGTGGCCTCTGCAAGCTGCACATAATTATGCGGTGTTTCGTGTGTACGTGTGTTTGTGTGGCAGGTTCTTTCGTCAACATCGATCATCGTACCGTCCGGCACCAACTTGATTCGTAGATGCGCGTCTCACGGCCGGACCGCGGGACGGGGAGGGAGGGGGGTGGATCCGTAAATCCGTAAGTCCGTAAATCGTGTAACAAAAAACCTCGAGAGACTCCCCCGCCGCACCCAGCTACAAGGCAGGCAGAGACACAGCACTCGCGACACGCTGAGAAGCCGGAGGCTGGCCTCTCCAATGCTCGCGCAACGCTGTCTGAGTGTCTGTGCACGCGCAGCAGCTCTCCGGGGTCCGCGCGGGCGGCGCACACAGTGGGAGGGCGACGACCGTGGGACTGTAACGCTACGTATATCTCTTAACACTCACTATATTCGCGCTTGCGCTGCGCCCCTGCGAGTGCGACTATCAACCTCTGTCGCGTGCGCATATAATCCCCTCCATCTTGTCGTACAGCCTTGTATGACCTCTCCGCCTCTGCGGCATCAGCGCGCCTCGCCTCTGCCTCCATCGAAATCTGCAGCGCGTCGAGCTGCTCGCGCAGCTCGGCCTGCATCTTGGCCCGCATCTCGCCAATACGCCACTCAAAATCAGCTCGAGCTGCGTGTGTTACCTCGTCGGCCATCCGCTCGGCCGCTTTGATGTCGCGTTTAGCAGCCTGCTGCGCTGTCCTCAGGTTGTCGCGGTCGGAACGCCTACGCTCTTGTGCCGCAGCAAGCTCAGCCCGCGCCGATGCGAGCGCCTTCTTCACAGCGCTCGCAGAGCGCTGCTCAGAAGCGAGCTCCTTGGTCTGTGACCGCAACTTCTCTTCCAACTCCTGCCGGAGCAGCACCTCAGCACTCGCACCACTCGCGGCTGCATGGATGTCCGAGCCTTTAGTGTGGTTTGCGCGTCTGTGCTGACGAGAGTGCGGGAGATGCTGCCGTTGTGCTGACCAGAGATTACGCCAGCGGTGGCAGTGCTGCTTGGGCACACAACAACATTGCTCGTGGCCGAGCTGGCATAAACCGCCGCACCAGCCTCTGCGGCTGCAGCGGTGCTTCGGATCGCGTCGAGCACTGCGCCTGTATCGTGCTTGAGCATGGCCTCGAGCGTACTGAGGTCGGCTGTCCCGAGTTCGTTGAGCAGACCCTCCAGCACAATGCTGAGCTGCGTCGGTGCCATGTGTCGACGTGTCCAAGGGAACGGACGTCGCCGAAGGCCTTAGTTCACGCCGAAAAGTACGTCTAACGCCTCCTGCTAGCTGGGGCACGCTCCCACGCGGCTGGGGGCCGCTCTCCAGCTCGATTAGGGCGCTTTTCGCGCGATTTTACGGAATTACGGATTGGAGGGGGGTGGCGGCACATAGGGGGAGGGGGAGACGCGCATCTACGAATCAAGTTGGTGCCGGCGTGTGTTTGACTCTGCTCTCTGGTCGGTCCGCAGGCAGATTTTATATCCCGGGCGTCCCCCCGGTCACACAAACTGCGTCATTAATCGAACAAGTCCCAGCCTCCTCCCGTGCCGCCCTGCTCCGCCCCCGCCGCGACAACCTCGCTGCTCCACCGGTCCCCGAAAAGGAGGGTGAGGTTGGCCCTCCTCTGCGCGTAGCCCCGCGCAAACGAGAAGGGCAGGCTCTCGTGGTACTGGTCCGACACAAAGATCGCGGCGCGGTTGCACCTGTACTCGACGCGGGTAACGCGGCCGGCCCGTAGGAGCGTCTCCCGCAGCGCGGCCTCGGCGGCGCGGCTCTCGTACTCGCGGTTGACGTTCTGCGTCGGCTGCTCGAGCGGCGGCACGTGCTCGTAGATGGCGAGGCCCCCGCCTGCAGGTAGAGGGGCGACGCGGCCGTCACGACACCCCGCCGCGAGAGCAGGCCGGCAGCGGGCCTGCTGGGCGTGGGCGCCCAGCACCTCGTCGCCGGTGAACCACATCTCGGCTCATCTCGGCTCATCTCGGCTCATCTCGGCTCATCTCGACTAGATCTCGCCCTCGTGGTGCGCATCGTCGTCGGTGAGCCAGAGGTTGATGTTGACCTGCTCACAGCGAGCAGGGTCGACTGGGCGGGCCCTCGTTCACCCTCCGGCACCCCACGGCAGCTGATGCTGACCGCCGCCGGGTCGGCATGTATTCCGATGCCTGCTCACAGACGCCGCGCGTGAAGCGCCGCCCCACCGGCGCCCGGCCGCGGCTGCTCTCGTCGCCGGACGGGTTGACCGCGGAGTCGTACTTGAAGATCCACCTACTTGAAGACCCTCCATCGAGGCTCCCGAGAAGCCTCCAGGGCGCCGTCGGCCGCAATCGGCTGGAGAGGAGGGGCGCGCCAGAGAGCGAGGGGGTGGGGGCCAAAGATGGAGGGCGCCGCCGCCGCCAGCTCTGCGGCCAGGGACTGCACCAGCGGGTGCGTCATCCCGTCGGCAGGGAAGCAGCCCAGGTAGCCGCGCCTACCCAAGCACGAGGTCGCCGTCACGGATCAGAACCGGAGGGCGGAGGCGGCCGAAGAGGCCTCGCCGCAGCGTCCGGAAGTGCGCGCCGTGGCGCGTGTAGGCCTGGAGGGCGTGCAAGGCCGCGGGCGAGAGGAGGTCGTCCAGCACGACGCACCGCTTCGCGCTGTACTCGGCCACAGCGCCGCCCCAGTCGATGCTCTGCCGAAGCGCCCGCTCGGGCGGCGCCTCGCTCGCTGGCGGCGGCGAGGGCAACGGCCAGCCGTGCGAGCCGAGCAGCGCGCGCTGCGAGGCGCTGAGCGACGAGACCGCCACGCGGCGCGTCGCCGCCTCCTCGTCGCCCGCGCCCAGCTGCGCCGCGAGGTCGCGCCACGCTGCCGCAGTCGCGAGGGCGGTGGGGTCAGCGCCGAGCCGCACGGCGTCCTCTGCAACCTCTGCATCGTGGAGGAGCTGAAAGGGCGCGACCTCGGACGAGGCAGCGAGAGAGGCATCGTAGAGCGCGCGGAACGCTTGGAACGCGCCCGACAGGTCGCGACTCCTCAGCAGCGTCTCAGCGCGCATTCGCATCGCGCTGGTGTTGGACGGGCTGAGGCGGAGGTGCGCGTCGTAAGCGGCGATCGACTGGCGGAGGAGGGCCGCGTCGTTGCCGCAGGCACCCGCAATGTGAGCGAGGTCTGCGAGCGTTACAAGCCGGTCTGCGAGCATCGCATCGTCGGAGGATTGTGCGGCGTCGAGAGCAGCGGGCAGGTGCTCCCGGACGAGAGGAGTCGCCCGCCGCTCCGCGAGCAGCACGCGGTTGGAGAGAAAGTCTGACCAGGCAGCGCGCCAGGCTGCGTCGAGGGTCTCGGGCGTCATAGTGTGTGTGTATCTTATGTCTGGACGGAGCGTGGCCGGGGATTTTCTTTTATTTAATTTGCAACCGTTGCGCGGGGCTCGTCTTCGAAAAGTACTACATGTATGGCTCCGCCCGCAACTCTCTCGCTGACACGCGCGCCCCGTCGACCTCACGACGGGCGCGCTGCGGTCGCACGCCTCCCATGTCAATGCCACCTCTGCTCGCATACACTCATACAATGAATTATCGTCACCCATGAGTGCGAGTTAGGGCTAGCAGTAGGCCGCTAGCCTGTGAGAGGGCGTCCATAGACACCTCACAAGACCCCGCACACGGTCTCGTCCATACCTTGCGGCCGGCGACGAGATTGCTAGACCTAGAGACGGAGCAAGCCTGCTCTAGTCTCACATGTTACTTCCTGTCGTCTGTTGTGTTGTTCTGCCCTTGTTTGTGTCCTTGGCACCGTGTGTGCTTGGGGGGGGCGACAGGGAGGATGTGGCCCTGAGTTAGTTATGTATTGTGTGGCAGCCTCAGTAGTGTGGCAGCCTATTGTGTGGCAGCCTCAGTGTTCCAAAGGTGATGCTGCAGCCTGGGCGAACGGGCGGCCGCGGCGCGAGCGCGGCCGGGAAGGACTGCTGAGGCTGGGACTGGGCGATGGCAGCAGCCAGGAGTACGTGTGGCATGCACACACCACCACGGGCGGCGCGGTCCCTGGCCGCTGCCTCCTCCAGCTCGCGCTCTGCACGCCTCTTGCCCGTCTGGGTGGCTCTCTGGGCTTTAGCGTCGGTGCCCCATTCCTCGACGGTCTTCCACGTGTGGTCCCCGGGGCCGAGCCCGCGCCACTGGCCGACGAATGCTGGCAGGTAGGTGGCGGCCTCCTCCCGCCGGGTGATCGGCTTTGCAAAGCCGACCACGAGGGTCAAGCTGCCGTCCGCGGAGAACCTGTATGCCGCACGATTGATGCCGGCAACCTGCAGAGCGCCGTCGCGCAGAGCCAGTGCGTCGCCCGCCGTCGCGACACTGCCGGCCGGCAGCGTCACCATCCAGCGGGAAGATGTCGTCGAAGGCATGGGTGTATGAAGGGCCGTTTTTCTGGCGCGAGACAAAAAGGCCGGCGGGCCCCGGGGGGAGGACGGTTTCAAATAGGAAAGTTTCGCGGAACAATCTTAGCTCTCTTTGGTTTTCACAGACAGAAGAACATAAGCTAGGTATGTGACAATTTCCAAGCGCAACCCAAGAGGAGTCGTCACACATCGCGCGCGTTGGGTCTGCTATCAGCTGCCTCCCTTGGGAGGGCTACTCCCACAGGGGAGTGTCTCTCCGGACAAGCGCTGCGCTCCCCCTCACCCAGCACAATCAGACACGAGAGACAGGGCACCACTCAGATCAGTCAGGGCACAGCCCCCGACGTCATATGTGGCGCCCTCTCCACCACACGTGCCAGCTTGCCACCACCCGCAGCGCGCAGGGGTGCTATGCGGCTAGGTCCTACAAACATGCACATGCCTGCACTCCAAGGGGCCACGCTGAGATTCGCCCACTTTGGAGATCCCATTTCAAGATGGCTCTTCGAGATTGACCGGGATATTGAGGCAGTTTCCAGTGGCTCGCCCGACTGCGGGCTGTCACGATGTCTTTGTGTTGCAGAGCTGCCTCAACGGACTCGCCTTGGCATGACTGGATGAGCAGCCTCTCACAGCCACTGTGCCGTCGTGAATACGACCCGCTACCCAAGTTCGACTGTGGCTAGACATCCGGTCGCGCCAACTCCGCAGCGTTCCGTGAGTAGTCGCGCCCGACAGATACTCGTGTCGGTGGATGCAACCCACGGACGGCGTGACGCCCCTCGCTAGCCCAGACACGCATGACAAACAACAAGTGAGTGTTAGAGTTGTTTGGTATTGCTAAAAATCTCCTCTCCTCGCATGACCATGAGTGCGTTCATATGCGAGAGAGAGATTTTTAGAAGCCAACAAGAAATGTGTCACACAGAGTGATTTGCGCTCGGCAGCTTGTCGACTACCAGCCGGAGCCGGAGTCGGAACTCTCTCCATATCGCATATGCGTGTATGTTGTCGGGGTGTTGGTACGAAAGTCTCCTCGGGCGTTTCGAGGTTGTGCGGCGAGGGGGGACGTTCGGAGGACGTTTGGGGATTCGGGTTTCGCACAGCAACGGAAAATAAAAGGGGCGGATAGAGCAAGAACACGGACAGAAAAAAAGCGCAATTTCTCATTCCTTCGGACTGACGGAACACCAATGACGCAAGAGTACGAGGCCCTTCCCAGCAGCGCGGCGCCGTCCCGCACAAGGACGGCGTCGACGACGCGAGGCGTCCTCTGCATCATTCTCCGAGATGTTGCCACGACGGTACTCCTCCTCGGCGCCTTCGGTGGAGCGACCATGCTCCTCGCGGGGAAGCACAGTGTGCCCGCGCCTCCGGGCATCCAGGAAGAGCTCGTGAGCTGCTGCCTCATGGAAGACGGAGCGGGGCGGCGCTTGGCCAAGAAGCGGGGCGCCTCGTCGTCGTCGGCCGAAGAAGACTATCAGCCGGCATGTAAAAGGGTGTGCTCGAAGCAGTACGCGGACGCGGCCGCGGCTGCAGCATCAGCACCCGCGTTAGACAGCTCCCTGCCGCCGTTGCTGCAGGACCTGCGCAAGTGGCGGTGCCCCGAGGAGTACTTGAGTGGCGGCAACGACACCCGGATCATGGAGAACCCGACAGCCCAAGTGGCCTTTGTCAACAGGCTCAAGGCAACTGCTCTTCCTGGCACCCGGTTGGTGAAGCACTACGACGAATGGGTCAAGTGGCTCGACATGGTCGCCGAAGAGTACCACCGATCGGTCAACTGCCCAGACGGCCTCGATCCCTGCTTCCAGCGCGACTTCGACACGTGCATCGGCGTCAACGGTGGGCGCACCGTCGCCTTTGGTAGACGGACCATCCGCAAGCTCGCCGATCCGGAGCACATCGCCGAGGAGGACCTGGGCATCACCGAGCAGAGCGCGGCGTGTCAGCGGGTCAATGCGCGCTTCGCCGAGATGACGGCGACGACGCGCATCGCAGAGTCGATCGCCGACATGCGCCGGTGCGACGAGGGCTCGGTGTGGCGTTCACAGATTGGGCCGACCAAGGGATCCCAGGGACATGCGTGCTTCGTCTGCTGGCCCGTCATGTACAAGGCCGTGCACTTTGACATGATGGCCAACAGTGGGTACACGTGGGAGGACATCAACCGCCGTGCGCGATGCCTGTACGGCTTGTACGCGAATCTGCATGGATTCCTAGGCAAGACGCACGTGACGCGGCAGCAGCAGAAGGTGCTCGTCAAGGAGGATCGCGACGAGATGCAGCGCAGGGCGGCAGCATACATGAGCAAGGCCTTTGACAATAAAGACCTCGAGATGGCGCCGTTTGGGGTGCGCTTTGTGATCACGGAGACGAACCGGCCCGACGAGCCCGAGCTCGACGTGTACTTCCCCAGCTTCAAGCGCGAGCATGTTGGTCCCAAAGGCAATGCGCTCGACCCCAAGTGGACAGGGCTGCCAAAGGCGCTCATGCAGCACCACGCCAATAAAATGATCGTGCCAGGTGGCGCCGCCTCCGCCGTCTGGACATATAGACACTTCCTTTGGACGACGGGTACTGCATCCGCGAGCTCAACGAAGAAGCAGCCAGACGGCTCAGTACTGAAAACGCTGATTCCGCGAAAGCCTCCACCTTTGCATGCGCGTGAGTACAAGTGGATGATACTAACAGGACCAGACCGTGTCGCTGATGCGCCGTTGTGCCTCATGCAGAACGGTTGCAGCACGATCAGTGAAGAAATAGCTATGGCGAATCCTGAGCAGATGGAGACGATCGTAGCGAGGGACATCAGTGATGAAAGCTGGGCAATCGGATAAGTGAATGTTACTTGCGTCTGTTTGAATGGCCCTCGTTTGCTCAGTTTGCACAGTAGTGCGTGCGCAGTTCTGAGCCGCGCTGCAAACCCGGTGAGTGATTTAATGTTATGAAACAACGCAAGGCGGACATGCACATGGCGTATCGCTCTCCGCGGGTCTCGGGCCCACTCACAGAACTCAGAAGATGGAGTTCTCAGTACACAGTAGTTGATTTCCTAGTTGTGGGGGTGTCGATGAGTGAGTGTGAACCTTATTAGGAGAAGAGGCGCTGTTCACACAAAAAGAAAAACACAACCACGGACCCAAGGCGCTGTTCACAGAAAAACACAAATCCAAGACACACAAGAACAGACAGTCGAGAAGGGAGAGACAGGAACGACAGTCAGAAGCCAGCGCGGGTACCAGGAAGGCGAATGCGATGACGGCCTCTAGTGTGAGCTCTAGCTAGTGAGCTCGTACGCACCGCGACAATACAAAGCTAGTTAAAGTAGAGTTAGGAGCCGACGACCGACCCTCGCGTCCGGTGCTCATCGGCCGCGGCGAATGGTTTTGCCCGCGCTGCATCGTGAAGCAGTCCCAGCGGGGAGCACCTCCTGGCGTTGGCGCTGGCGCTCAATTGCCGCCCCGCCCCCTGCCGCCTGCGTCGCAGGGCCTCGATCCTCAGTCGCCGGTGGCATCAGCGGCGACACGCGGCGAGTCGGACATGGCGCGGCGAAATCACTGCTTCACGGCGGAGGAGGACGCAACGATCCTGCGGTTGCGGCTGTTTGAAGGGCGCGGGTTCGATGAGGTGGCACGCGCCCTCGGCCGCACGTACGCGTCTGTCAAAAAGCGCCACCAGCGGCTCAAGACGGGCCACGGAGTGCACAGTGAGAGCAGTCAGTACGGAGAGTGGCTCGCTGTGAGCGGACCAGCTGCAGCCAGCGACCAGGCGCAACGCCCAACCAAGTCGCGCAGCGGCAAGCGGCGCCTGGGCGCACCGAGGGCGAGAAATGCACCGACGGGCAAGCGCAAGGTTGCCAAATCCGCAGCGGAGAAGGCGGCCGGTGCCGCCCAGCGTGCTGCCATCAAAGCAGCAGCTGCGCGCAGAGACGGCGAGCGCTGCGCGGAGAATGCAGCGAGCGATGATGTCCTTGACGCAGATTGAGGTAGTTCTCTCATTTTGTGTCGGTTTAGTAGAGAAGAGAAAGCATCACGCTGCAAGGTGCCTTGACCCTCGTTAACGTTATCGGCGCCTGCATGTGCGATGTGGAGCTGTGTGAGATGATGTGAGCAGCTGTGAGCAGAAGCCAGAACTGCTCTCTCTAGCTGAGCGAGCGGCCCCAGGATTGCGATCAGGACTTGGGAGGACCCCTTAGGAAGACTTGGAGCACTTAAAAAATAAATAGAGCCGCGCACGGCATCTCCAGGAGAGATGGGCGAGAGTGTGAGTGAGTATTCTTGATACGCGACCGAAACCACACGACGGACCGCGACACACAAGGGTGTCACACACCAGTCGACTCGCATCGGTTGCCTCCATGAACGGCGGAGCTATTCTCGCGTCCACACCACACCTGGCTCCAACTTGGACACGCCCATAGCTGGGGACACTACTAGGTCACGCATGGCATCACAGAAGTTTTGTCTCTGGGCCCCCAATGGCCATCTCTAGCAGTGTCGTTACGCATGCCCCCTCCCCTCCTGGGCGCATGCGCCTCACGTCTCGCCAGAGCATAAGCCCTTGGTGTGCGACGAGACGAGTTTTTCGCCATGCAGCGAGCAGCAAGCCGCCCGCCGCAAACAGCCGGAGGCATCGCCACGGCACTGACTGCGCCGCGGTCCCGCACCCGTCGACGACGCTCCCCCCGCGGAAGACCGCGCGTAGCGACGCCTTGACGATCGAGATGAGCGTGCCTGAAGCTCGCCCACCTACTGCCCCTGAGAGTTGGTTACGAGTGGGATCGGCTCCCCCCCTTGGGATCGAAGCCGCCACAACCTCACACCCAACATCACAGGCGGGATCAGAAGGAGACTCCGCACCGGACACCGCCCGGGCACAGACCCCCTACCCGTCGGATTGCACAGGGCCCCCTCGGAGCAGCCCACACACAATCACGCATCGGCAGAATTAGTGCCTGAGTCAGGCAGACAGCACAGACAAGGAGAGGAGAGAGCAAACCCCGAATTCTCTTCCAGCCGGCGGTCGCTACCCAGGGTACACCTTGCAGGCGCCTGTTTCATGATTTCCGCGAAACCTGCGCCCGCCGCCGCCGCCACCAAGACCAAGCTCGCGGCGTGCGCCGCCACTCTTCTTCTCCTCGGTGCTTGCGCCTCCTTTGCACGCGTTCCTTCCCAACAAGTCGCGAGCTCCGCCGCTGCAAGCTCCGCCACGCCGTCGGCGCCAATCTACCGCAAGTGCGATGGGCAAAATGTCAAGGAGACGGCGCTTGCCGCTTGCAACGTAGCCGCAGGAGAGTACAAAAACCAGATGTCTGAGCACGGCTGCGACTGGACGAAATTCTTCACCTACGGATGTTGGGAATGCTGCGGCGTCATCGCCCCATATCCGCCGTCTCCACCGCCACCATCACCACCGCTCCTTGCCAACAAGTGGGCCAACGCGGGCCTCAACACCGGCATCACGTTCGCCAAGTTTGGCGCCGGCACTGCGTTCACTTTTGGCACGTCGAATCCGTTCACGACCGACTATGGCAAGCTCGGGCAGCAGACGGGCGAATCCTTCTCCGAGCAGGGGATGAAGGAGGCGCATGGCTATGTCGCCCTGGACGACACGGGCATCGCAAAGACGGTCACCGCGTGGTAGTCGAGAATCAGTAGTTGGGAATCGCGGTGGGGGTAAGCGGTGTGTCGTCCCCGCGCAGGCCGCCACGCCCGGCCTAAACGCCTTTGAGCAGGGCGTCAAGTACGGCAACCACAAGGCGGCCCAGGCCGTTGGCAACGAGGCCGCGCCCACCCCCGTGATTTCCGGTGGGGCCGCGGCCAGCTCGGGCGCCGCGGCCGCCGCCAGCTCGGGCGCCGCGCCCGTCGCGCGCTGAAAGGCATTTCAAGGTCGATGCTCATCGACGGCGTGGTGTGCTCTCTACGACTACATCAGAGAGTCACGAGTGCGGCTTGTAATCAGCCTGTGTGTGCTCTCAGACGCTCTCCCCCCTCCCTCGAACTCTCTGACCTTCTCTTCTTGTGGAGAGAGAGAGAGAGATTTTGTTTCGTTCTTGTGGTGGCTTTCTGGCTTTCTCCTTGACCTTGTGACCTCGTGTGGCTATGCCTATGGAGTGCGGGGTAGCAAGAAACACACACACACACACACACACACACACACACACACACACACACGCTGGTCATCCAGTTCTCTCTTTTGCACTTTGCTCTTTGGAAAGAAACGAAATTTTCAACAAATCTCTCTCTCACACACAACAGAAAGAAAGAAAGAAAACACACAACCCAAGGGAGGGATGGGAGAACGGCACGCCGCCACACAACACTATGCCGGCGTAAATCGAGGCGCTTTCTTCTTTTTATTCCGCAGGAAAAGAAAAACACATGGCATGGCGGTCGAGCCCTTTGAGGCAGTCTCCGCCTTCGTCGCGCAGGTCGAGAAGAAGTACGCCTACGTGACGGACACGGCGTACACAGACGGCGGGTTGGTGGGTGCGGACAGAGCCGGCCGCGAGCAAGCCCTCCACCGGCTGGAGCGCGTCTTCCTGCCAGACGCCGGCGTGACTGGTGCCGGCGAGCACGGCGCGATCGCGGCGGCGTGCGGCGCCATCGAGGAGCTCGACCTGGAGGGCAACCCGATCAGCGAGTGGCAGCCGCTTCTCGACATCGCGGTCCAACTCCCGCGGCTCCACTGGCTCGGCCTCAACAGATTGCCGCTGCAGCCGCTCGACGCGCTCCCTGACACGTTCGGAGCCACCCTCGGCGGGCTGCGAACGCTTTGCCTGAGCCGGACGGGCATGGCATGGGAGCAGCTGCTGCTCATCGCCTCCGCGATGCCGCACCTCGCCGAGCTCCACTTTTGCGCCAACGGCGTCGTCTCGCTCGAGCCCGCCTCCGCGAGAGGCGCCGCCGAGGCGGAGGGGGGCGGGGAGGGTCGTGCCGTCGGGAATCTGCTCTGCGAGCGGCTGCCGGCGCTGCGGACGCTGTGGCTGGAGGACAACCATCTCGCCTCGTGGGAGGGGGTGGCGCCGCTCGCCTCGCTCCCCCACCTCGAGGCGCTCAATTTGAGCGGCAACAGGATCGCGTCGCTGCCGCGCGCACACTCGGGCTTCCGCTCGCTGAGGCGGCGGCGGCGGTGGCGGCGCACCGACCCGCCCCAGGCCGCGCGCCAGCTGACTCGTCCCGCGTGCCTCCCCCAGGCGGCTGCTGCTCCGCTCCAACCCTATTTCCGACTGGGCGTCGATTGATGGGCATCCCGCCGCACCAACACCCCGCCGCACCGAGCCGCCGCTCAGCCATCGCCCGCCGCCACCACTGCCGCCGCCGCCCTCGCCCCTACCACTGCCATCACCACCCACCCTCGCCGCCCTCATCACCGTCGCCATCCACCATCGCCTTCGCCATAACACGGCCTCATCCCCCACCCTTTGCCAGGCTCGACTCGCTGCCGGCGCTGAGCGACGCCGCGCTGCGCGACCTGCCCCTCTTCGGCGGGATGAGTGCGGGCCCGCGTGGCGTGAACCCACCCCCCTCGCTGCCCCGCACCCGCCCCCGCCCCGCACCACTAGGCGCATCGTCGCAGCGCCGCCTCGTCATCGCGCGGATGGGCTCCCTCGCCACCCTCAACGGCTCCGAGGTGCGGAGGCGGGAGCGGGAGGACGCGGAGCGCTTCTACCTCCGCTCTCTCTCCGAGTCGTACCCAGAGCCCCTCCCCGAGGGGTCGGTGCCGCACGCCCCTCCAGGGGGGGCCCCCTCCCCCGAGAAGCTGGAAAAATTAATGGGGGGGCTCAAATTCCCGGAGGGCAAGGGTTGAATTCCTTTTGGAGAGGACCCCCCCCCCGGGGGGGGGTTTTTTTCCCTCCACGGGTTCAAGGGGGCGCCCGGGGGAGGCCCCCCAGCTTGGGGGCCCCTTTGGGGGGGGGGGCCGAAACCCTTTCCCCCTCAAGTCCCTCCCCCCCCTTCCCCCCTTTGGGGGGAAAGCCCCCCCCCCCCCCCCCCACACTGGCGCAAGCCCTTCCCTCCCCCTCTGCTCGGGTGAGGCTGCCGGGCTGAGCCTGCCCCCTCCCTCTCCCGGAAGGCGGAGCTGATCGAGCTCACCCTGCGCTCGACCGCGGCGGCGGCGGGCCACTTGCCGCCTCTCACCCGCCGGCTGCCGAGCTCGCTGCCCGTCAAGTCGCTCAAGGCGATGGCCGGAGCCCTCTTCAAGGTGGAGCCGGCGAGGCAGGTGGTGCTCTACTCGAGGCGAGCGGGGCGCCGGGTGAGGGGGGGGGGGGGGTCTGGGCTGCCGCGGGCACACATCGCATCGAGTCCGCGCGTAGGCCAGGCGCGCACAAGAACGACATCCCCGAGAGCCTCGACGACGAGCTCAAGCGGCTCTGCGACTACGGCGTGATTGGCGGGGGCGAGATCATCATCGAGGAGGAAGACGGATCCTGACGGTATGGGCCGATTCCCACGAAGTTGCTGGTAAAAATTGCGCGGCTCAGGCCTCGGCCACTGTCTATTTGATAGTCTATTCTCCTACGTTTTATTCTTTTTTGGAATATCTGTGGATCGGTCCTGCTCATGCTGCCGCTCTCTATTTCTTGATCTTGTAGCACGACTCGACATCAAAACTGAGCCCTGGCTGGTCTGACAGCCTCGGACAGCAAACCCCGGATAGGCGATATAGCGCCTGACAGTGTTTGCCCGACAGCCTGACAGCGCTGACAGCACTTTCTCCGACAGTCTGACAGCACGTATCTGACAGCCTGACAGCAGAGTCTGACAGACGAGGTGCTCCGTCGCTGTCAGGCCCTAACGTGACAGCCTGACAGCTGCCCGACAGGGACAGCCCGACAGCACACAGTGGCCTGACACGTGACAGCAGCGCTGACAGCCCGACAGCAGCACAGACCGTACACAGTCAGACCCCGTAGAGCCTCTTTCTTGTGCCCCATGAGGGTATAACAAAACTAGTGCATGCAAAGACATGTTGCACATGTGCATGCACATGTGCATGTGCATGTGCATGTGAGTGTGGTCCATGTCCATGTAGTCATGGGATGGTCATGGGTCTCTCTCTCAACCCTCCCGTCCGCCACACCTCTGCGCGTCTGCGGGGACCCCTCTCTAGCACCGCAGCACCGGCGGCTGTGTACTACAAATGAAGCCACCAGCGAGCCTTCTGGGGCCCTACAGTCATATGCCTACGGCGTCTGGGTGGGGGTGGCCGCCGCCGTCTGTGCCGCCGCCGCCGCCTGCGCCTGCGCCGCCATATGCGCTCCCCAGGCGGCCGCCGCCGCCGGCGTGATCACGCCGTGACTAGGTCCAGCCCAGGGTGGCACAGATCTGACGTTTTGTGTCTGTAATAGATAAGATGAGAGTGAGGTTGAACCGGACCCAATCAAAGTCGGCGGGTTTCGGGGGGGGGGTACGACGAAAAACGGCGGGCGCATTTGGGCACATGACTGGGAGAACTCTGTGGTGGACCCGCTGGGCGAAAGGAGCTCGCAGACCGTTGGGCCTCACGATGTCGTTGAGCGAAGCGGGTGCGAGCGCGGCGGCCATGCAGCGGCACCAGGAGCAGCGGCGCGCTGACACGAGCGCGCTCGTCGATGCGGCGAGGGGGCAGAGGCAGAAAGATATCCGTCGCTCCGTGTTTTTCTTGTCTTACGGTACATCTCTCCGCTCGCCACCTCACGCTCCGCCGTCCGGCCATGGATGGTTCGATGGAGCTCGGCGAGCTCCATCGAACCATCCAACTCCGGTCACCGGGTCTGAACGCGCTCAGCCTCAGGAGGTACCAAACCGCGCGAATTCTGCACGCCTCGCTGCACCGCTGGCTTGACTGAATCAGGCAGCGCAGGCTGCTGCTGCTGCCACAGCAGCAGTCTGCTGCGGCCCCAATACGCAAGTTAATGACCAGCATTGCTGCCGGGGGCATTCGAGCCGCCACAGCCGGTGTGCGGCCGTGCACTGCCACCTGCCCGCGGCTACGCACAATGTGCGCTCGCATTGGATGAGCCCTGCTGATGGACCTGCGTCGCCTAGCTGCACGAGAGCATCGCCGTAGGCGGCGGCCGTAGCATACACTGCGAGCACACTCGGTGCAGCTGCGAGGTGCAGCAAGAGCACGTCGTTCCTGCCTCTGATGCCACAGAGTGCCACGCACGACTGCTTTGACTGACGTGACTGACTGATGAGACATATGACATGAGTGCTGATGGATGATCTCCGAGACAACCCACCCAAAACCAAAATGCAAATGCGGAGTTGCCCCACTTTGGCGTGCAGATCCTGCGTCTCTCACTGCCCGAACAACAGACGCGGGTACCGCCGCAGGACGCAGGTCCCACACTACCGGTAGTCTACTTAGAAGCACCAAAAGGGCAAGGCAACCGGTGTGGGAAGCATTTTTAGTAGTCGTAAACGTGAATTGCACGACTAGGCCGGCTGCACCAATAGTCAAATGATGCCACATGCAACGAAGGCGCGCGTTTTTCTCGTTTTGGGGGCTTACCCGCTCTTGCAGTTCCGGGCCAGCAGCCGAGGCGCTGCCGAGGCGCTGCCGAGGCGCTGCGCGCCGATGTCAGCGGATGCTGACGAGGCGGAGTCGACGTCGCTCTCGCTGCTCAACGAGGGCGTGATCTCGCTCGAAGGGCTGCCGCAGATCTCCGCGCGGCCGGCGCGCCTCACGTCCATCAACCTGCACTGCAACCGGATCAGCACGATTGGCGGGCTCGACCATCTCGGCAGCTGCTTGACATCGCTCAACCTGTCGTCCAACCGTATACAAGTGATGGGCGGCCTCTGCCACCTCCGCCGCCTCGAGACGCTCGACCTCTCGTGCAACGAGATCTCTGCGATCGACGACCTCGCCGCCCTCGGGTCGCTGCGCCGGCTCCTGCTGTCGTACAATCGGATCTCGTCCCTGGCGGGGCTGCTTCAGTCGCACGGCGGCCCGCTAGAGGCGCTCGAGGCGTACGGCAACCAGATCTCGCTGCTGCGCGAGGCCGAGTACTTGCGCGGACTGCCGCGGCTCGGCTCGCTCGTCCTCTTTCGGCACGGCGCCACCAACCCGGTCTGCGGCGAGCCAGGGTGCGGACCGCTCGCAGCTCGCTCGGCGGGCACGGGCCTCGCACGACCGCCGCTTCCCCCCTCCCCGCAGGTACCGCGCCCGCCTCGTCTCTCTCCTGCCGCAGCTGCGCACCCTCGACGGCGTCGCCACCACCGCCTCCCGCATCACACCCGCCGGCGCACCCACTCTCCCGCCGCCGCAGCCGTCTCTCTCGCCGCCACCGACGACGACAGCTTCGTCGTCGATAGACCACCACCACCAGCCGCCACCGCCGCCACCGCCGCTGCCGCCGCCACCGCCGCCGCCGCCGCCGCTGCCTCCGCCCTCGCAGCAGGGTCGGCTGGCTTCGGGCGGCCGCTCGGCGGACGGATCGCGGCTCATCTCCACGCCGAACATCGACGCGCTCGCCGCGCGCCGCGCAGGCAGCCGCCGCGCCCCCACTCCTGCCGCAGCCGACGCCGCAGCCGACGCGGCCGCACCCGCAGCTGCCAGCAGCTCCGGCGCCTGCAGCTCCGGCGCCTGCAGCTCCGGCGCCTGCAGCTCTGGCGCCTGTGGCTCTGGCGCCTGTGGCTCTGGAGCGCTGAGAGCGCACGAGGGCGGCGCGGCGGCGGGCGCGGCGGCGGGCGCGAGCTTGCGCTCCCTCTCGACCGAGCTCCGCCTCGAGAGGCTCGAGATATAGCCGAGATACAGCCCGAGAACCAGCCGAGATACAGCCGAGGTACAGCCGAGGTACAGCCGAGATGTCGCCTCGAGAGGAGCGCCGCCTGATCCCCATCCGACGTCGCCTACCGTGGCCCACTACCGTGGCATCACTACCGTGGCTCCTGATGCTGCTGCACTCTGCCAGGCTCGAGAGCTCGCTCGGGTTGCACGCTGTCGACCGCGCCGTCGACCGCGCCGTCGGCCCTCCTCCTCCCGGCCCCCCCCCCCACCCTCCCGGCAGAGCGGGAGGGGGGGGGGGCGGGGGGGGCGCCGCGGCGGCCGGCGACGCAGAGGGCGGCGTGGAGGGCGGCCCCCCCGGCGAGGAGGAGGAGGAGGAGGGGGAAACTGGCTCGGGCGGCGGGCGGCGGCGGTGCCGCTCTGGCGCTCCGTCGAGCAGCGGCGGCGGTGGAGGCGCGAGGCGGAGGGGCGGAGGGGGCGGAGGGGGCGGGGGCGGGGAGGAGGAGGGGGGGAGCGACGGAGGCGAGGGGCTGGGCGTGCGTGGCGTCCCGCACGCGGAGGTGGCGCGGCTGCAGACGGCGCTGCGCGAGACCAGGGCGGAGGCGGAGAGGGTTGCGGCGGAGCGAGCCGCCGAGGCGGAGGCGCTCAAGCAGGCGCGTGCGGCCGAGGAGGAGGCGCGGGCCCAGGCGAGGGCGCTCGAGGAGGCGACAGCGGCGGCGCGCGAGCGGTGCGCGCATCGTTCTCTGGCATGGGACTCTCTCTGAACCTTCTCGGTGCCTTCCTGCAGGCGCGCGAGCTGGCGGCGTCGCTGCGCGCCGAGGCGGCGGCGGCGGCGGCTTCGGTGGCGGAGGAGCGGGCGAGGCGCGAGGCCGCGGCGAGTGGCGAGGGCGAGGCGCGGCGGGCGGCGGCGCAGCTCGCGGCGCAGCTCGACGAGGCAAAGCGAGAGCTCGATCGCTCTGCTCGCGCGGCGCACCTTGCTGCGGGCCGCGAGACGCAAGCGCGCGAGGCGCTCTCCTCGCTGGGGGAGCGATCTGCGCAGCGACTCTCAGAGGCGAGCGCCGCCGCACACGACGGCGCTGCACTGCCTCGCGCCGCCCCCGCCGCTCTCGCCGCCCTCGCCGCCACACGTTGCACTGCTCCGCACACGGCCGGAGCAGAGAAGGGCCCGGCCGAGCCACGTCGCCCTGACCGCAGGCGTCGCGCCTGGCGACGGCAGAGGCGACTCGCCGCGCAGACGACGCGGACGAGCGGGCGCGCCGCGTGCTAGAAGACAAATACAGCCGCACAATGCCGGAGGACGAGCGTGCAGCCCGGTGCAGGCGCGGAGAGCGAGGCCGTGCTCTACCCCCCCCCCCCCCCCTCCTCCCCCTCCCTCCCCCGCCGCCCAGGCCGCCCGCGCGGCGCGCGAGCTCTCCTCGCTGCGAGAGAGGGTGCACGAGCTGCAGCAGTCGGCCGAGGCGGCGCGCGCAACGGCGAGCCGCCGAGCAGAGGAGCGCGAGCTGGCGCGGCGCGGGAGGCGGTGTTTGGGGGACCATCCCTGAGCCGTCGCGTGGGCCCCCCCTGTAGGAGCTCGAGGCGGCGAGGTGCGACGCCGAGGGGCGAGCGTCGGAGCTCGGCGCCGCCCGCGCCGCCCTCGCGGAAGTCGAGGCGGCGGCGCGGCTGCAGGCGTCGTCGGCGGCGGCGGCCGCCGCCGAAGCTGCGACGCGTGAGGAGGCGCTGGGCAGGCGGGCTCGTGAGGCGGAGGCGGCACTCGCGGAGCGTGGCGCCGCGGCGACGGCCGAGGCGGAGGCGGCGGCGGCGGCGACGCTCGCCGAGCTGAGAGGCGCGAGATGTAGCCGAGATGCAGCTGAGAGGCGCGAGCTGCTCGCTGCGGCGGTGAGGGCGATTGGTGGCATCCTTCACGCGGTGGCATCCTTCACGCGTGCCGCGCGTGCCCCCCCCTCCCCCTCCCCCCCCCCTTCACCCCCCCCCCCCCTCCCCCTCCCCTCTCTCCCTCCCCTCTCTCCCTCCCTCAGGTCAGCTCGTCGACGCAGTTCAGAGGGAGGTGACGGCGCGCGCGGCGGCGGGTGAGCTGGCGGAGCTGCTGCGCGAGCAGCAGGCGCGCCGCTCGCAGCTCGACGAGCAGAGGCGGCACGCCGAGCACGAGGCGGCGCGGTGGCGCAGCCGCGCGGCGGACACGGAGCGGGCGGCGGCGGAGGCGGCGCGGCAGGCGGAGCGGTCGCACGCGGCCGAGCTGGCCGCGGCGCGGGCCGCCGCGACGCGAGAGGAGCTCTCCGCCGCCGAGGCGGCGCAGGCGGCCGAGGCGGCGCAGAAGGAGGCGGCCTCCGGCCGGGAGAAGGCTGCGCGCGACCACGCTGACGCGCTGAGGGTGTGCCGGACGCCGCGGCTGTCGCGGCACGGCCTCTGTGGACGCGTCCGCGACACGAGCGGCGCACGTCCCGTAGGTCAAGGACGTGCTCCTCGAGGACCTCGCCGCGCAGCTGGCCGCGGCGCGCACCGCGGCGAGCGCCGCCGAGGAGCGCTCGCGCGGCCTGCAGAGCGCGAGGGCAGAGGCGTCTGAGTGGGGCGGGTGGGGCGCGCGAGATCGCCCGAGGCCGAGCCGAGCTTCTCCCGAGACTAGGCGTCCGCCGGGGCCGACGAGCTCGCGACGGCGCGGGAGACAGTCACGGCACAGGAGACAGCGCTCCGTCGGCTCGAGGAGGCGCTCGAGTCCGAGGTGGAGGCGAGGCGGGCGGCGGAGCGCGAGGCCCCGGCCCATCTCTAGATGGTTGGCAAGTGGCACGCGATGCACGCCCTCACGCCTCGCTCCTCCCGCCTCCAGGCGTCCGAGGCGCGGGAGGGCGTGGCCAAGCGGGACGGGATGCTCTCCTTCGTCTCCAAGGAGGTCGAGTCGGTCAAGTCGCTCTTCGCCCAAAAGGAGGTTGCGATGGAGGCCGAGGCGGAGCGCAAGCTCGCGGCGCGCGGCGCGGAGCTGGCGGCGGCGCACGAGGCGGCGGCCGCCGCGCAGGCCGAGGCGGCCGCTCAGCGGGCTGCGGCGGCGGCGGGGAGCGCCGCGCTGGCCGAGCGCGCCGCGCTGGCGGAGCGGCTAGCGGAGGCGGAGGCGGAGCTGAGGCAGGCGCGCGAGCGGATCGCGCGCACCGAGGGGGAGATGCGCGTGCTGCTGAAGGCGAACGAAGCGCAGAGGAGGAAGGCGGCGCGCGACGTGTCGCAGCTCGCGAGAATCTGCGACGAGTGGAGAACCGCCGCGGAGCTCGCCCCGTGACTAGCCACCCCAACCAATCTTCATCGGGGCACTGCCAATTGTGGTCTCATCTCCATCGCCAAGCGATTATACATTCAAACAATGCGCGGAATCTCCGGTTCGGGCCGGGGTTGGCCAGAGTGGCCGCAGCACGACACACCTCATAGTCATACCTCATTCATACCGTCAGGGGCGGGGAACCCGCAATTTGAGATGCTGAGGGCATTTTGAGTTGCAAAAAATCAATTTAGATTGCATTTTTCAATTCAGAATGCCGAGTTGACTTTTCGCATTTCAAGATGCACACCGCATTCCAAAGATGGTCCACGCATTCCAGGATGCGTCGACCATCCTGGAATGCGAACTGCATTCGTGAATGCGCTAGCATCTGGAGTTACCCCTTTGCATTCTAGGATGCTCCTTGCTATTTCAAGTTGCCTTCCTTAACCTGAGATGCCCAGCATTTTGGCCAATGCCGCATGTCGGCGGGGCATCGGGTAGGCTGCGGCTCGGCCTGCGCCTCGGCAGCCGTTGCCGCTGCGCAGCTGGATATGGTGGCGCACGTGGCGTGGCCTGTCGTTTGCATGTTTTGCGGTGGCAGCCCATAACCGCACGAATTGTGCATGGCCCTCAGCAATCCGTGTTCGATCGGCAACGCCCGTGCCGCTGCTCTGTGTCTCGTTAGAACCAGGTTCGTTGTGAAGAGCTGGGGCGCGCCACCCAAGAGCCTAGGTAGGTGCGGATCGGCAAGAGCGCAATCGATCTTTTTGCCCTCTATCACCTTGGGTTGTAAGAACTTGAAACACACCACGCAGGGGCACAGCAAGCACGGATAGGGCGTTGAGGAGAAAGGGCGTAAGGTGTATGCGCAGCCACGGCCGTGTTGCGGTGGGCGCGCCACCTCCCGCGAGCGCGGCGGGATCGGAATTGCGGCCGGAGGGAAGGGCGAGCCGCCGCCGCCGCCGCCATATACCATCAGCGACGACGACCGCGGCTCGCCCCAAACGCCAGGCGCTGGATCGGCAGTAGGGCTTGGGCGGCGCAGCGTAGGCCTCGAGCCACACGAGTCGCCGACACCCCCCCCTCATCGACGTGATGGCCGCACCCGCTGCCGGCCGATGCAAGCTGCCGCCTCCACCGCACCAGCGATACTGGCCGCGGCTCGCCGCCACGCGCCGGCTCGGAAGAGGGGCTATCGGCGGCGCAGCAGAGCGGCATGCGTCGTCATTCGAGCAGCACCAGGTCCCCTCTTCGACGTGACGGCCGCTCCCGGAGCTGGCCGGTGCGCGCCCGACCCACGCCCCTTCTCGCACCCCCCCGATCCCCCTGCGCGGCGCCCCCTCCACTGCGCGCCGGCTCAAGCGCCTATTGCCAAATCGCGACTTTCGAGCGCAGTGCGTGCGCCCCACACGTCACGCGAGCGCAGGAGAGTTTGCGGCAGAGCAGTACCGTGTACTAGCCGGAGGCATCGCGCCGAAAACCCCGTGCATTCCGCCCCAACAGAGGCTGCAGGAGGCAGATGGCCAATAGCGACGATCGTTACGAAATGTAGCCTTTCCGGGAGGTCTCCAAGCTGTCTTGGGTGGTTGTAGATGAAGGAGGCAGGTGGCCAATAGCGACCATCGTTACGAAATGTAGCCTTACCGGGAGGTCTCCAAGCTGTCTTGGGTGGTTCGCGGTCCGGAAGAGATTCCGAGTCGGCCGAGTCAGCCCGGTGAAGTCTCCAGCCTCATCTGACCGATTGATACGCTCTCGACCCACGAGGCCATTTTCGTGTGCCCACGCGAGGTGCGGGTCGCCTGCCAGTGAGCGAGGGACGGGCTGAGCATGTGTGTACCGGGTCAGGGCAAATGCTGTGACGGGACGCGCCCGCATCTGAACTGCTGCTCAATGAGAGCCAGCAATGCGGGCGCCACGCTCAATGAGCCTTCTCGGTTTACCGAGGCCGTGCTCTTCGAGCCGACGGCGTGGAAGTCGTGCGAGGGCTATGTGTACGGCGACCGTCACTCTGCATCGCCCGCCACCGCAGCTCCTCCGCCCTCTCTGCCTTTGCCACTCTCGCATCGTAGTCGTCGCCATCCGGCCGAACCCACACGCCTCGCAGGTAGTCCCAGTCGCATGGAACGCCAGAGACGGTCGGGGCTCTGGCTCGGGGCCTGGGAGTGCCGCCGGCAGCACGCACAGCGTTCAATGCCTGGCGTCGCTCCGTCCGTGCCGACGACATTTGTAGATGAAGGAGGCAGGTGGCCAATAGCGAAAGATGCATGAAGCAATTCAGGATGCGCGAAGCAATTCAGGATGCGCGCGCATCCTGAATTGCTTCATGCATCTTGGGATGCTCGAGGCAATCTCAATTAAAATGGAGATCGTATCGGGCAATTTGAGATGCCGGAGCATTTCAAATTGCGGGTTCCCCGCCCCTGACGTACAAGGAGCTCGCTCTCTGCGTCTGCTCTCTCCGCTCACCGCAGGGATATGCGAGCTTTTCAGAGTCAAGCGATTGCGCGAAATCCCAGACTGGCGGATTTTGGGGCGCTGTCTAGACTACCCCCTAGGGCCGTAGGGCTAGGGGGCCTATAGGGCTATATACAATATAGGCCTGGGGCGGTGGAGGTGTGTGGGTGTTCGGCACTGCCTCGCCACGTCGAGCGACCGATACCAAAGCGACCCTCCCTGTCCGATCTTCTGGTTCCACTGAGTGATCACGCACAGAAGTCAGAACTCGAATACAGACCCCACGCACACCGCACTCATCTCTCACGCGCTCGTGGCCTCGGGTGTCGGGACCCCGCTCCGCAGTCAACTCGGTTCGAACCGGATCCAAGTCGAACGCAGCTCGCCAGCGGCGAACCAGGCGCGCAAGCCGGTGCCAGGCTCGTCGTCCGCCACAACCGCCGCGTTGAGGAGGGCGAAGAGGAATGCCGAGTGCGTGCCCACCGCCACCTCGCCCTCCTCGCGGGAGCGCAGCCACGCCAGGAATGCGTACCCTCGCTCGGCGAGCGCGGCCTGCGACTCGCGCACCGCCGGGTCGAAGAAGGCGTCCTCGTCGGACGGCATGAGCGAGTAGTCGACGTCGGGAAAGTCCTTCTTCGCCTGTGGTCATATCACGCGAGTGTCGTCATCACCCGCGCCGGGGCCCTCGTCACCTTTCGCCGCACTGACAGGCTCGGGCAACCACACGGACAACCTCGAGTGACCATCTCGTCGCGCCTCGGCGCCGCGGCGCGCATCTCGGGCAGTCTCGAGGCTCATCTCGCCGCGCCTCGGTGACGCTGCGCCGGCCGTCGCACGCGTTGACGCCGGAGATCTCTCGGCAGGACTCGTGGGCGAGGAAGGGGACGCGGCCGACGAGGTGGTCGAAGGCGAGCAGCGCCGTCTTGGTCGCGCGCGCCAGTGGGCTGACCACGACCAGCGAGGGGGAGAGGGACTGCGTCGTGCTGCGCAGCGCGACCGCCTGCTCCCGCCCGACCGCCGTCAGAGGCGGGTCGTGCAGCTCCGGCCGCAGGTACGGCTTGCCTTGGATGCCGTGCTCCTTGTAGAGGTCCGAGAGAAGGTTGTGGAAGCCCTGCCCGTGCCGGATCCAGTGCACGAGCTTGACGTCGCCGCCGGCGGCGCCCGACGGCGGCTGATCGAGCACGCGCACCACGAACGGCGAGCGGCAGATCTGGCCGATCGAAGGCAGCAGCTTCTCGAGGTGGTTGCGCGAGTGCTGCTGGTCCGGACCGGTCAGCGTGCGATTCATCCCATCGCCCGGGAAGGCGTGCTTGCCGTCGACCAGCGGCAAGTCGATGGGCGGCGCTGCCAGGCAAGACCACGGTATGCTGCCGCCGAAAACGTGCGGGAACTCGCCCGCCCGCTGCGCCGCGCCGGCGGGAGGAGCCGCCTCCTCGTAGCGCAGCTCAAGCCCAGCGGCGGCGAGCGCCGACGCCGAGATGGGCAGCATGCAAAGGTCGCCGCAGCTGGAAAAGTAGGCGGCGGCGGTGCCACGCGCTTGCGGGAGCGTGGAGAGGTGGATGAAGCCGACGTCGAGGCCCGGCACGGGGTCGAGCCGGCCGGCGGCCGCAGCGGCGTCCGCGGCGGGCCGGGTCAGGAGGCGGTAGAGAGTGGTGTCTGGCATCTTAGATCTAGGGCGCAGTCTGGCGAGGTGCTCCCACGACTCGGTCTGTCACCGTGCACGGCCCTGAGACTGCAGAAGAGCTTCAGGGTTGCCTGAAGCCTTTCATGCAAATCGGTTCCACTCCTCCCCGCTACCCAGATAGGGGGTCTGATGCCTACGGTTAGACCCCATGCAATAGGTAGGTAGGTCCGGTTTTGACCGCCCCAGAGGGCCCCGCAATAGGTAGGTAGGTGGTGGTGGTGGTGGGGGGGGGTGGGTGGGGGGGGGGGGTGAAAGTAAAAAACCGCTTCGCTTGCGCGGGAGACGGGCCGCGCGTTAGCCGGAACGGGGCCATGCCAGGCGAGTCGCCTGCGGCTAGGACGCCAGCCGAGACGGGTGCGGCGGCGGCGGCCGCGGTGGCGGCGCTGGGAGCCTATTCACAGAGGGCTAACGGGTATTTTTTCGCTTCGCTGCGCGGCCTGGGAATAGGTAGGTAGGTGGGGCACGGAGCCTGGCGATTGGTGTGTGTGTGTTGGTTTTAGCAATACCAAACAAGTGTTAGAGTTGTTGCGATTGGCGCCCGCAATAGGTAGGTAGGTAGGGCGTTTTGGGAGAGAGAGAGATTTTTAAAGACCAACAAGAAATCACGACTCTCACAGTGATTTGGGCTCGGCAGCTTGTTAGCCCTCAGCCGAAGCTGGGGCCGGTCCCGTAGCCGAGAGAGCCCGCGCCGATGAGTTCGACGCGGTCGGGGGGGCCTGCGAAGAGGCCAGCGAGATGGCGATCGCTGTACTTCATGGGGGTCATCAAGTGACCGCGACTGACAAGCCAGAGGTCGATACTCTGGGCGACCCTCTTTCTTGCGTTTTGGTGCGAGTCATAGGCAACAGACCCCCTATCTGGGTAGGAGCCGGAACCCTGTACACACTGTAGTCGGCCCCGTGAACCTTCACGGGACAGCATGCTGTGAGAGCCCCTGTGTGAACGGGCCTTCTAAGCCCGCGGGTAGTCCCCCCCCATCCCCAGGGCCTCCAGGGCTCGCACCTCAACCTCTCACAGGCCAGCGCACAGCGCCATTGGACGTATTTTCTTCTCAATAACAAGGCTGTGAAGAGTGCGTCTTGGGTCCGGAGTTGTGCGTTTATGTGAAGAGTGCGGAAGGGGTTGCCCCATTGCCCCAGGGCGAAGTCGCAGACCTATCGAACATGCTGGGCAGCGACCTGAGTGAGCGGCTCGTGATCGACTCCGATACGTCGGCGGAGCGGGCCACTGCCGCTGCCAAGCGGAAGTTGCTCATCGGCGCCGCCCTCTGCCTCCTCTTCATGTGCGCCGAGATTGTCGGTGGCTATCTCGCGCACTCGCTCGCCATCATGACGGACGCTGCGCACATGCTGTCGGACGTGGCCGGGTTCCTCGTGGGAGTGCTCAGCCTCTTCCTCACCAATCGCGCGCCCACGCCAAAGTACTCCTTCGGCTACCACATCGCCGAGGTGCTCGGCGCGATGGTGAGCATCTCGATTGTCTGGCTGATGACTGGCGTGCTCCTGTACGAGGCGACGAACCGCCTCTTCTCGCCCGAGCCGGTGGACGGCCGCACCATGTTTGTCGTCTCGCTGGTCGGCGTGGTGATGAACGTCGTGCTGATGGCTGTGCTCGGGCACGGGGAGGGAGGCCACGGAGGGCACGGCGGGCACGGCCACTCGCACGGAGGAGGCGGGCACGGAGGCGGCGGGCACGGAGGCGGGCACGGAGGCGGGCTTGCGCCGGTTCGCGCGGTGGCGGACGGCCACGACCACTCTCACGCGCCGGCGGCCGGCCACGGCCACGGCCACGGCCACGCGGAGGAGGGCGAGGGCGGCGAGGCTGGCCACGGGCCGTGCTGCGGCGAGGGCGAGGGTGCGGGCGGCGCCGGCTCGTCGCTCGCGCTGCGCGCGGCGATGTTGCACGTGACCGGAGACGCGTGCAGGAGCCTCCTCTGAACCGTCTCCGGACCTTCCTACAGGCGATGGTCCACGTCATCGGAGACATCGTCCAGTCAGTCGGCGTCTGCGTCGCCGCAGCCCTCATCTGGGCCTTTTCGGACCGGTGGCTCGACGCGAGCGGCGTGTCGTACTGGTACCGCGTCGACCCGGTCTGCACGTACCTCTTCTCGCTCCTCGTGCTCTACTCGTCGTACGGGACGATGAGCGAGGCGGTGCACCTGCTGATGGCGGGGGTGCCTTCGGACATCAACATCTCCGAGGTGCGCTCGCGGCTCAAGGCGATCCCGTGCGTCGTCGGGGTGCGCGACGCAGCGTTGATGAATGGGTGAGAGCTAAAGTCTGAAGGCTCCCTCTCTCACCCAGGCGCACGACGTGCACGTCTGGGCCCTCTCCGCCTCGAAGCGGAACATGTGGGCCCATCTCACCGTCTCGGCGGGCGCCGACTCGGCCTCGGTGCTGCACGCGGCGCAGCGGGCGGCGGCCGACTTCGGGTGCGACCACACCTGCTTCCAGCTTGAAAGCGAGGGCCACATCTGCCACGCCCTGCACTGCGGCCCGCCCGACGTCGCGCACGACCACTCGCACGCGTGACACGGCACCTAGGGGGCCGGCTCCTTGGTGTCCGCCTCCACACGCCTCCGCGCCTCTCGAGCCGCGCCTCCGAGAGGCCACCGGCTGCGGCGGCGGAGGACGCCTGGCAGCGCAGGGAGCTCCTGCCCCCATTTTCTCATCCCTGCGGCGATTTGGGCCTGGGGATGCGGGATGGCCGCCGGACAGACGGACTGCGGGGCGGGCTAGAAGGAGAGCTTGTCTCCCGCTTTTGTCACGAGTGGCCCGTGACGCGTGCGCCGATTTATTTGATGCATTAAGTAAATTATTTCTTCCTTCAAAATGTCCACACACACGGGACACGGCACTCGCGGCCACGTGAGCACTCGCGACGTGAGCAGTGCGGTCCACCGTATTTCTATTTGAGGAGAGATATGGGGGGCTCGAAAACATGGCCGACTGCACGGTGAGCCATATGGACCTTGCACAAAACCTTTTCCTTCTAAGCAGGGCTACACAATGACCCTATAGTGTGGGGGTGGTCCTGGTGAGTTGTGATGAGTAGGATTAGATTAGCCAATGTTATTTTGAAGTTCATATATGAAAATACCAACTTGCCATGTGCACGTCTCCGCGGCGGCGGCCCGGAGGCGGCCCGGCGGAGCGGTCAGAGCAGCACTGCGCCGGCCGGCGATCGACTCTCGACTATAACACGGCTGAGCTTCGAAGGAAAAGGTTTCGCTCGGCACGACGTCGGAGAGCAAACTTCGGCGTTCGTCCTATAGTACAACTGGACGCACGTCGGCAAGTGGGCCCATGACAAGGCGGGCTGCTGCTCAGAATCTGGGCCCTCTTGGCGCTCGCTCTCGCGCTCTCCATAACGGCTTTGCCCCCTCCCTCCCGCGCCGACGTTGGGCAGCCCGACCACGACAACGTCAGCGCCGCCGGCCTGCAACTCGAGGCGCCGTTGAATGAGCACGAGAGCCGGTGCACGACGCGGCGCGGGTGATTCAGCCCAAGGTGACGGCGACGGCGGAGGGGGTGGCGGCAGAGGAAGAGGCGGCGGCGGCGGCGATGGCCGCGGGGTCGGCCCGCCCGCTTTTGCTGCTGGTGCTGTGGGATGTCGGTCATCTCTCATCTGCCACCACTCGCCAGCGACAAGGTTGCTGGGTCCATGGACGCAGACTTGCTGGAGATTGAAGAGGTGCTCGGCGTGCGTTACTGTGCGATCCGAGCCAGATGGCGCTGAGGAACCCTGTCGATGAAGACGACGACCGCTTGGAGTACCTCGTCTCGGCAGGTCCCGACGACCGTGGCTTCCATTCTGTCGCTTGGTTTTTTCACGGCGACTTGGTGGACCATGCAGGGCGGACACGGTCAAGGCAGCGATACAAGAGTACAAGGACTGGATAAGGATCACGGCGCTGGCGGAGGCGTGTGACGAGGCTGATGCTGAGTAGCCGCACCAGCGCTGCTCAGCGGCAGTTTGCGCCGACCAGGGGCAGGGCCAGTGGTAGACAGTGGACGTGGTGAGGCTGCTCTGCGAGCGATGACACTAGCAGGAGCATCATGAGTGTCATCGGAGTCACTTGTGTTACGATATCACCACGCCGCCACGATCGCAAGGGCCGCCTAAGCGCCTAAGCACCCTAAGCACCCCCGCTTAGGCCGCTTAGGCGCTTCAGGCGAGTGACGCGTGACGGCCGACTCCCCGGGGCCTGGCGTGCCTCCGCCGTGGGCTAAGCGCCTGGGAGAGCCACTCAGCAAGTGGTGTGCGAGCGTGTAGCCTTTAGCGTGCAGTCGGCCACATGCTCGAAAAGTGCAAGTCCGGGCTCGTCTGCACTGGAAAAGTTTTTGATGTTCTGCCCAACACGTGCGTGACCACACCTTCTCCTTCCCGTGAAATCCCTGTGGTGGCGGCGTGCCGTCCTCCCATCCCTCCTTGTTGCATTTCACTTGGTGGAGCACTTGGAGTGCAGTCATCAACCTCACATCCAGGGCCGGGGAGCTAAGAATCGCACGCACCCAGCGGGCCAGATGATCGGCATCGGGTTGCGGGCAAGAGAGCCCTAGCCCTGGGGGGTGCGCGTTCGCAGGGAAAGGGCCGTAAAGTAAACGCGCTACACGGGTCTCCGAGAGGGCTCCGTGTCGACCGGGTTTCCCCTTAACTGCAGAACGCCCCCTCTACTCGGAGCTAACACGGACACACAACGCCACATACTCCACGCACGTACACGGTTACACCTCATGTGTGCTCACTCGGCCTCACTCCCAGAGTCCTGTCCTCCGCCCACCGGGGCGAGCCATCGGTTCGGTCCCGGCATGCGGTAGCCCCGTCTCGTCTTCCTCACTCCGGCTCCCGCCCTCAGTCTCGTCCTCACCGCCGACGCAGTCGGCTAGCACCGAGCCGTCGCGCCGCCCTTGGAGTGAACCCGTCAGACAGTGGCACGCTGGTCCAGACGGGCCCCGCCCCGGCACCTCCCAGCTCCTGCTCGAGCTGACAGAGCTTGGCGTGTCCCGCAGCGGCTAGAGCGAAGCCGTCCGCTGGGCCGCTCCTGTACGTCCGCCGACTCACCAGGTCGGTGCGCACAGAATCTCACCGAGCCACTCGCGCATCCAATGGCTCCAGCGCGCCGGAAGTCAGTGCCCGGCATCTCCCCGAGCTTCGAACCCTCCGCCCTGAACTTCACGTGCTGATGCGGCCCTAGACACCGCGCCGCCCCCGGCCGCTTCGCCCCGCGCCTCGCGCAGCCCCCGCAGCAACAGCCGGACGGCCGCGGTGCACTTAGCCGACCACAACCTCGCCGCCCCGCGTTGTGGCCGCATCGCACGAGTCGCAGTGGTAGCAGTGCCTCCCACCGTCCGTATTATTTTGCCATTGCCAGCACTCCTCCTCGCTGTCAGCCGTCGTCCACGGCATCTCCTCGCCGAACGCGCTTCGCAGGAACGCCCACTTGCACTAGCAGCCGTTGCCTAGGTCTCGGAAGTGATCGGCGGCGGCACTGAGGTCGTGGATGCGCTCGTTTCCCGTGATGTCGTCGGACGAGGTGAGGATCGTGCAACAGGCAGGCGCACCGCCGCGCCCGCCGCGGCTCACCTCCTGGTAGTACCCATCGATGAGGCCACGAGGTGCTCCGGCGTGGATCACCCGCCTTATGCAGCCTTGTTGATGCTAAGGCCAAAGGTGCGCGTGGCAACGACGACGTCTGCCGTGTCGTCCATGAAGTCGGCGAGCGCGCGCTTTCGATCTCGCTGTCCATAGCGGGTGGGTAGGCCCTAAAACGGCGGGAGGGGTAGGGCTATATCGACAGAGCTAGAGGGCTCAACCACCCCTCCACCCCTCCACATTCCACACCCCTCCACCCTCCCGGAGCGAGAGAGGTCCGTCTTCGAGCCCTCCCACTTCCACCCCTCCGACCGGAGGGCTCGCCAGCCCACAGGGTGGAGGGGTCCCCGTCGGATCGGCGTCGGGAGGGCTTCACAGGGCTAACCCCCTCCTCGGACGCCGGGTGGGCTCGGAGGGACGGTCGGACAAGGGAGGATCTTCGTGGCGTCCTCCAAGTCGCTCGGCAGCCAGCTGCTCAGCCGGCCGTACATCTACCTCGTCCTGTTTGCCTGCGTGCACCTCCTGCGCCTCAACTTTGCGGTGGCCACCTTTGCGACGCAGGTGGCGTCGCTCGGCTTCGACGATGCACAGGTGGAGGGGTACGTCATCACCTTTGGGCGGCTGCTGCCCTTTGGCTTTGTTGGCATGCCGCTCACCGGCTACCTGCTCGACAACTCCTTGGCAGCCGCTCGCCCCCGACTCCATGTGTGCCATTTGCCGAAGAATTTCAGCCCTATACCCAAAGCAAAAGCAATATCGGACGATGTTCACAGCTACGCCGACGTTACAAAATTCTTGTGAACGCGCCGCCCCCACACTCTCGGCTGTCTGAACTGATCCCTCGAGAGTTCACGCGGAGTCGGCTGGGGCTATACCAGACAGCACGCTCGGGTCTTTTGCGGCCATAGCAGCGAAGACGCCGTCCATGTGTACCTTCAGGCTCCTGCTTCTGCTCGCTGTCGCGCTTGCTCCTGAGTGCGCTGCACTCCCGCTGGTTGCAACGCCACCGCGCCGCGCCGCTCTGACGGCTGCTGCCGCGGCCGTGCTCACGAGACCGGTGCCTCGCTGCTGGGCGGCGACGTTGGAGGAGGAAGACGACGCAGAGGTCGGGTGCTAATATAGAGGCGGGCGCAACTGTGCACAGCGTCGAATCATGGCTTGAGGTGTGAACAGGTGGACGAGGTGCCGCTGCTGAAATCTACCAGCGGCATGAAGCGCCGGGCGCCGCCGGGCGAGGCGTCTCGTGCAACCTACTCCAAGGCTGAGGGCTCCAAGGCTTTCGCATCAATTGTCGCATGCCGCGCCGGCGTTGCCACCGTCGACAAGCTGTTGCGGGCGGGTGATTTCTCCGGCGCGACGACGCTGCTCGCGCAGCCTCCCTTCTCCTCCTTCAAGCAGTCTGCCCTCGTGCTCGTCAACTCCAAGGTGCTCTCGATGGAAGATATCAAGGCAATCGGCACAGAGAAGCGGTTTGGTGTTGGAGCGGACGTCATCATCATGCTCGGAGGGCTGGCCGACGCGACGGAGCGGTCCGACCGTGGTGCTGGACTCGACTACGCCAGCAAGGCGGCAGCCTCCCTCGACGAGATCATCGCGATCGGGCGGAGCAACGGCCTGTGACCAGCGTGTCGGACACAGTGGACAGTGCACAGCGTGTGACCTTGGAAGCCGCGCCCGCGCCCTTTCGCCGGTGTGTGCTGTGTCGCTGCCACCCGTGCCAGTGCCACGTCTCAGCTCTTACCGCACGCTGGGCATTATTCTAGCCTTGTCGTCGTCCGCTTTTAGAACCTCGTCGACGACGGCGCACTCATGACTCGAGCACATGCCGGAACACAGGCCACACGAGGCGGCGGCGCCCCGCAACAAAGACGTGGAGACTACCACACCAACCAACTCACATGCGGCATGCCACCATGCACTAGACCTTTCTCACACACGTCAACTCACCACAACGCCCAGAGTGGTTACGCAGACGGGCTGTCAGGTGGCAGCCACAACCCGCTCGCCCAGTCCACTGTCCACGGCCGAGTTCCGAGGCTGGTCATTCTCTTTATCGTGCCGGCGGCCCACGCGCCCTTTACTTTTGCTCTGCACGACCTGGCTGCTCGCGGGAACGGACAGCATATGCACACGCCCTGGGTTCACCAGCGGCTCGACTCGCCTGCCACTCCCGTCACGCACCGGCCGAGAGCAGCCGCCCTCGTTTTCCTTTTCGCACCCGTCCTTGGGCAGAAAGGCGGGCTCGAGAGTGCTCCCGGCGGCCGCTTCGTCGGCGCTCAGGCGGCAGGGTATGACCAATCTGCTCTCCGCGTCGTCTCTGACTTCGAATAGCATATCCTCAAACGGCCGCGCGCAAATTTCTTTTTTCCCTACGCTCCGGCAGCCGCGCCGGGCACGGGCACGCCGCGTGATTTCTTCTTTTTCGCCCGTGCCGCCTAGTTCCGCGCTGTCTCCCTTCCCCAGTAGCGCTGGTGTCTCCTTCTCGCTCGCCGACACTAGCTACCAGCCTACCACTGCCATTCCCCAGGTAAATGAGCTGCGCCGCCGCGCGACTATCCTCCCTGCTCGTGCCGCACGGCGCCACCATCGCTGTCGCCGAGTCGTCCGCCGGCGGCCTAATCGCTGCCAAGCTGCTGTCTGTTGCCGGCGCCTCCAAGTTTTTCCGCGGCGGCGTGGTCTGCTACTCGGCGCACTCCAAGGAGGCGCTGCTTGCGCTGGCGACAAAGGCGCCGACGGCCACCGAGGCGCACGCGCTTGCGATGGCGGCGGCAGCTCGGCGGCGGCTCGGGAGCGACTGGGGCCTCGGCGAGACGGGTGTGGCCGGGCCGGGAAAGAACTCGCGCGGTGCGGCTCCGGGCTGCTGTGCCATCGCCGTCGCCGGCCCAGACGGCTTTGAGCGGACGGTGATGCTGTGGCCCGACGACTCGCTCGGCGCAAACGACGCCTACGGGCAGCCGCCGCTGCTCAGCCGCGAGGAGCGGATGAGCGTCTTTTGTGCGGCAGCCGTCGATCTGGCGGTGCAGAGTGCGGCGGCCGTGTACGGGCGAGACGAGTAGTAGGAGATGCGTCCCGCTGATTTCCGCGTCTCCAGCTCCCAGGCTCCGCGGTCCTTTCCGCCATTCCGCATTCGTGTGGCACGCGCTTCGCAGCACTGGGCACTTGGTCTTGGTCTTGGACGTTGGAGGCACTCGCCACGTGTCCCTTTCTGTTTTTTTGTAGCCTTCATTGTAGCGCAGCGATTAAATTTAATTAATAAATAAATAAAAACGGACAGCTCTCTACTGAGAGAGAGAGAGATTTTTAGCAATAGCCAATACCAAACAACTCTAACACTCACACGTCATTTGCGATTTGGGGCCTGCCCTGTTCACGCGCGCGCGAGACGTGCAGACAGGGTTGCCAGGTGAGAGCGAATGGCGCGGTTCATGAGATCATGACTCACACTGACACGGAATCTCTGTGAGTGCAGTGTGACACCCAAAAGGTGTTGGACAACGGTGACACGAGGGCTGGGGGTGTGAAGGGCATAACCATGGTTGCGTGCAGACAATGGAGATAGAGCAGCCCCGGAGCGGAGGCCCGCCCGGGGTATTCAGTGTGTCGCGGGCGCCTAATCGGGATTAATTCCGTCGGGCGCCTACGAATTTACGTTTGCCGTCGGTGTTTCGCAAGCGCGCCTGGCGGCGGCTTGTGCTATGCCTGCTTTGGAGCCCGACGGGAACGCGGGAGCTATGGTCTGGGACATGGGCTGGCCTTCGTGGGGCCGAGGCTTTGCCTCGTGGCCCGCAGTCGGTGCCCTTTGCCTCGTGTTGATGCAAGGCTTTCCGGGGCTAGTTGGCAACAACCTCACCATGGAGTCAGACCAACTCAGCCTACCCATTACGGTTGGCGGGGCCTCCGGCTGCGTCATGAGCGCAGCTCTCACCGCCACCAGCCCCTCCAAGTACCCCAGGGCGATTCTCGAGTTCGTCCTGCCCGCGCTCATTGTGACCACGGCCTACGTTCTGTTGCTGACAGGTGGGGGTGAGCACCACACCACGGGCGACAAGAAGGGGGGGTCGCGACCCTCGACCACCAGGGGCAGCGACTACCTGTCCCTGCTCATCCCACGGTATGTGGGCCAATCGCGCCGGGCATTTATCGGGAGCCTCTTGTTCTTCCTCACGTTCCTGGTTGCAGCAGCAGATGCTGTGTGCCCGACGTGCGGCGGCAACCTCGCGTCGTGCGACTACGACACCTCCCATACTTGCCCCGCCGCCACTGTCGTGGCTAACAACGCGAAAGTGCTCCTCGGCACGGCGGCGGTGAGCACCATGACCATCGCGAACCTGCTCCGACCACGGTTCCTGCGGGTCCTGGGAGGGGGAATGCTGCAGCGCTTTGTAGCCCTGCACCGCCAACCCGAGAAGGGCACGACTTTCGAGATCAAGCGGACCACAAAACCATCCGAGGTGACGGCGGCAATGCAAACTGGGAGAATCTCCCAGATTGACGCGGCGACACAGATCCAGCAAGTGATCGAAGAGATTGACCAGGCGATCGACACGGCGGGGGACGACGCCGCAAAGGCGCTGCTCGAGAGGGAGAAAGAAAAGTGGACGGACTACCTGAAAGGGGGCTTCAAATATGTCACTTCAGCGACCGAGTCTGACGGCCTCAGTGGACCAGAGGGGACGAGCGTCACCGGTTCCATGTCGCTGCTCTGGGCGAATGTCTCCACGTTCATCAGTCGGGGTGAGAGCTGCGATCGCGCAGACGTCACCAGGATGGTCCAAACCTTTACAGCTCAGCCCCTCGCATGTTACTGCAGTGTGACACCCAAAAGGTGTTGGACAACGGTGACACGAGGGCTGGGGGTGTGAAGGGCATAACCATGGTTGCGTGCAGACAATGGAGATAGAGCAGCCCCGGAGCGGAGGCCCGCCCGGGGTATTCAGTGTGTCGCGGGCGCCTAATCGGGATTAATTCCGTCGGGCGCCTACGAATTTACGTTTGCCGTCGGTGTTTCGCAAGCGCGCCTGGCGGCGGCTTGTGCTATGCCTGCTTTGGAGCCCGACGGGAACGCGGGAGCTATGGTCTCCCACCCTCCTCCCCTATAGCCTCTCACAGTCTGGCGACAGTGGGGGGTGAGTGCGAATTTCCGCAGTGTGTGCGTCTTCTCGCTTTGACAACACGCGGATGGTCCAAACCTTTACAGCTCAGCCCCTCGCATGTTACATAGGTAAAAAGGAATTCCCCCCCAAAGCCACAAACAACACAATCAATGATTTACTTTGGATTCCTATGCTCTTGGGAGTCACCTTGGTGACCAGTGAGGGTGGAGGCCGCCGAACCTTCTTTTCTAGACGGCTAGGATTGAGAGCATGCAGCCACGCCGGAACGCGCAAGCTGGCAGCTCACGTCGCGCACACGGATCCGACCCAGGAGCCGCTCCTCAACCTCGCGCCCAAGAAGGTGAACTGGGATCTCAAGCGCGACATCGAGCCGCAGATGAAGAAGCTGCGAGCCGCGACCGACCGCGCCATCATCGATCCCCTTTCCGGCATCAGGAGGCAGAAACCGCAACCGCGACAGAATCTGATAAGTGAGAATCGAACGGGCAGAATCAGATCGAGTAGGCAGAAACGGAAGCTGAGCGAGGAATCCTGCCCGGAGGCTGAGTGCGTGGAAAGGGGAGGGGCAGAATCAGATCGAGTCAGCAGAACCGGAAAAGTCGAGTGAGAATCTCTCGAGCCTCCGCATACAGAATCCTGTCTTGGGTGGCAGAATCGCTAGTGCAGAATCCTCAGGCGTGGACAGGGTTCTCCAAGACTGGATGGCGAAGACGTCTGTCTCGCAGACGCACGTCTCGACTCCCGCCGCGGCCTCGCCTGCCGGGCACCACAAACGCCGGCAACGGAGGGCGGTGCTTCAGGTGCGGCCGCGCGGGCCACTGGTCCCGTGACTGCACCCACATTGCAATGGCCATGACCGCTCGCATGTCCTCGCCCTGCCACGTCTGCGGCGGCAGGATCAACCCCACCTCCGACCGCATCTGCCGGCTCAGCGTCGGGCCGTACGCGGGCAGGTGGGCGCACCACAGCTGCGCTCTCAACCATCTCGTCAAGCCTAGGGGAGGACGCGAGCAACGTGGATGGAGATCTGAGCCCGCCCTCCCTCGCGTCTGAACCACAGCGTGTCCCGGTCCGTAGTTTCTCTTCTTATCCGTTACCATGTAGAGCAAGGTCGAGGGCGGGCCCTTTCGGGCTCGGGCCGCCCTCTCGCCCGCACCTCTGCGGGGCTTGCACGTGGCAGCGGCGGCTCAAGATCCCAGCGATCTCGAGTTCTTCACGCTATCCACTGCGCCGCGGCTTCGCCGCGCCCATCCAAGCCCAGGGCTTGGTTGGCTGATACCCGCATCTCGCTCTGCGCATCTCTGAGGCTACCCGCGCGCCGACTACTACGCGCGCGGCGAGAGGCGCACCCCATCGGGGACAGGATTGAGGCCCCTGTACAAGCTCGGCAACGCTGCCGTCGTTGCCCTCCCGAGCCCTCAACACGCGATGCCGCACATTGCGCAAGCCGTTCTGCGCACATGCCGCAGGGAGGAGTTTTCACTCTTCCGTCTGAGTTTCTCCTTCCTGCAGGGCGAGAGACATCAGCCTCTCTACTTCCAGGGGAACATCTATGCCACACGCTATCCCTAGGACGGTCCACAACCCACACTCTCGCTGCAGTCGATCCAGCCCTCGCACTCCCCACTGGAGATCTAGCCGAGGCCCCCAGGCTGGGACACGGACAGGATTGGAGCCCCTGTGCTGCGTCCAAGGACCGGCACGCCCCCCTCTTTGGGCCATTCCCTTGTCCAAAGTTCGAGTGATAGCCAAAGATATACTTGACTATACATTTCAAAGATACACCTTTATAACATCCCACCGGTGTATCTTCGAAGTGTATCTTCGAGTGTATCTTGAGTGTATCTCAGCGCCGGGCGCCCCAGGACCAGTTGCAGAGGACGCAGGTGGCCGGGTCCCACGAGTGCTGGCACTGGCCTGGCTGGGGCTCACCCACAGGGCCCACAGGGATGACTGGCTCCGAGGGCAAGGGGTGGTAGCCCATGGGGAGAGGGACTACCGGCACACACGGCACACCGGGACCCGTGAGAGGAGACTGTGGAGGCTGCGCCAGCGCGGGCGTGAGCGGCGGCCTCTGCGGCCGCCTGGCCTGCTTGCGCGCCTCCTTGGCCGCCTGCTCTACCGCCATATCCTACAGCCCAGGGAAGGAGGACTGAGCGCAGCCAGGATGGGTGCGGGCTCAGGAGCGCACCTCTGGGCGGCGGCGAGGCTTGCGAGCTGCAGGCGGCGGCAGCTCCGACCCGTACTCGTGGTAGTAGGCCAGCTTGGCGGCCGCCTCCTCGGCTGTCGCGCTGTTCGAGCCGGGCAGGTGGCGCTGAAACTTCTCGCCGACCGGCTTGAACTTGGCGCAAAAGGGGTTGTTGCGCTTCTTGCTGCCGCCTTGCACGATAACGTTCTCGAAGCCGGTGCTGGATGCGGACGACATGCGGAGGGCCACGGGCTTGCCCTTCCAGACGCCGGCGCGGAACCAGACGCCATTGGAGCCCTCAAAGGGCGGGCCGAGCCCGTCCAGCTCCATGAGCAACTGCCGCTCCCGCTTCCGTGTATCTTCACTATGAACGCGCTCCGTGAAGATACACCGCTTCGACCTGGAACCCGTGTATCTTCGTATGAAGATACACCGCTTCGGCGCGGAACCCGCATAAGTAAATCTGCGGTGTATCTTCGGTGTATCTTCCGTGCGTCTAGATACACGGAGTGGTGTATCTTCTCTCATGACACGAACCTCCACCCGGGGAACCTCCCAAAGGGGGGGGGCGTGCCGGTCCTTGGCTGCGTCTGTGGTGATATGCCGATATGATATGTGGGGGACGACACTTTCTCCTCCCTATTCATGTGAGTCACTCGACTGCGTCGAGGGGGGGGACGTCTGAACCACAGCGTGTCCCGGTCCGTAGTTTCTCTTCTTATCCGTTACCATGTAGAGCAAGGTCGAGGGCGGGCCCTTTCGGGCTCGGGCCGCCCTCTCGCCCGCACCTCTGCGGGGCTTGCACGCCTCGCTCAGTGTGCTTCTCCTCCTTTCCAGTGTCTCTCCCCCCTGTCTATCAGAGCCCGAACGCATTCATCGAACACTCTTGTGCATGGGCTATTGAGGACAACATCAGCTGCGTAGAATAGAATGATTGTTTGGCTTCACCCTTAGTTCTGTGAGTGCGTTCGCAGAAAAGGGCTAAGATTGGAGATTCGTTGGCGTTTGAAAGAATTTCAGAATAAAGCTCCCTCGCACGACACTAGGCACGGGACTGGCGGCGCACTTAGGCGTTTGAAAGAAATCGGTCCTTGGCGGACTGCCAGCATCACGACTGAGTCGGCTACTGAGTAAGCTCACTCGCTCGCACTGGAAAACGTGGGTGGCTGTGTGTAATGGCTCTTCTCCTCGCCTCGTGCGCGCTTGGATACCAGCACTGGACCGGTTCTGCTCTCGAGCAGGCTCTCGCCTCTTCGTCCGACCATCTCGCCCCGACCATCAGCCTCATCAGTGAGCCAGCGCCGCTTGCAGAGCGCACTCCAGTCGTGATGCTGCATGGCATGGGCGACAGCGGCACAAACCCCGGTATGCGTTCTCTGTGCGACACCGCATCGGGAAAGTATCCGGGGCTCCACGTCGTGTGCTCCACCGTTGCGGACGGCGCCGCGTCCATCACGACCACTCTTGACAAGCAGATTGAAGAGTTCACCGCCAGCGTCCGTGCAGACGCGAAGCTGGCCAACGGCTTCACCGCGGTCGGTCTGAGTCAGGGCAACCTCGTGCTGCGCGGCTACATCCAGCGCGTCAACGACCCTCCCGTGCACAAGTTCATCTCCATGTGCGGGCGAGGCGGCGGTCCTGCAGGCAGCTCGCCATAGTACACTGCCGTTATGGATCGGTGCGAGAGATAGGCCGCACAACGGCGTGGGCACATGCCCGGACAACGTCCTCTACAAGCTCATCTGCCCGCTCTGGCGGCTCGACTCGTATGGCGCGCCGATCGCCTTCAGCGACTACTGGAAGGACGTTGCTGACAAGGCAACCTACCTCAAAAAAAGTCGCTGGCTCGCCGACATGAACAACGAGCGGGAGGCCAAGAATGTCACCTACGTCAAGAACCTAAAGAGCCTGACGCAGCTCGTCTTCGTCGAGGCGCTGCAGGACACGATGGTGGTGCCTCACGCGTCCGAGACGATGGGCTTCTGGGCCTGGGGGTCGAGACTAGCCTAGCCGAGACTAGCCGAGATCAGCCAAGATCAGCCGAGAGCAGCCGTGCTAACTCACCAGCCCTGCCCCACAGGTCGCCCGGCTCGGTGGTGCCGCTCAACGCGACCACGGCGTACAAAGAGGACTGGCTTGGGCTCAAGGCGATGGCGGAGACGAAGAAGCTCGTGACGTACAGCTACCAGGGCGAGCACCTCCGCTGGTCAAGCGCCTTTTGGGACCAGACGATCCTGCCCTTCCTCGCCGACTAAGTAAGTTCTAGGCGCTTTCCACATACACCGCGGGCGCCAAGTTGTTGCTTGTTCGCTCGTCGAGGTGAGTTGAGAGTCAGAGTGCACACGCTGAAATTCACGTTTCTCACCGAGCTGTGCGATGTGTGGTGCGGACTGCGGTGTCCTGTGTGCGTGACGTTGGTCGTTGCGTCTGGTTCTGTGCGTAAAATATGTGGGTTGTTCGCGCTAAGCGAGGTGTGTGCTTTTACTGTGTAGAGTGATTCTGAGATCAGGTTGGGCGACTGGCAGACATTTCAAAAATTTGGCGCCGCAGGCGCCCGCTGCGTGCCCACCATGGTTGGGCGCGCAGCGAAGAAAATTTTGCGCTCTCGACAGCCTTTTCTAATAGGAAAATGGCCTCTACTCGGCGCCATACCGCTTGTCGGCGCACAGCGGAGTTCGCAAGCCGGACCTGCTGCCTTCCCTTCTACGTACACTTTCAGAATGGAGGCTCAAACGCAGCGCAGGGCTCAGACCAAGTGCAAGTCGATTTGTACCACAAAGTTGGTAGACAGTGCCAAAACCGCGGAACCGAAAATGGCGTTTAATTTCGCGCACCTGCTGTCCGCCGCCTGTGGCGGCGCTCCGCACCGCTTGAGGCGCCTGCGGCGCCCCTGGCGGCGCGCTGTCCGCGCGCACTATGTCAAAACCCCACTGAGAAATTATAAATTTCTCTAGAGCCGGTGCCGTCACTAGATGAAGTGCTCCACTGGGCCCCCGGAACACGCCTGCGCGGCGGCGAGCAGTGAGGAGGCGCGGAAAGCTGATTTTTTTACTTTTGGACGCATTTCGGGCTCCGTACTGGTTGACGCAGAGCCGCACGCGTCGACCGGCGCCGTTCGCGACCACGAGGGCGGATGCTGGCCATCCCGGGCTCTGTGCACATCGGCAGCGCGCGTTCTACGCGCTCCGCTATCCAGGTCTTGGCGCCCCACCTCGAAAGCGCCGTTTTTATCTCGTGCAATCTCGAGCCATGGAGATTAGGCCGAGATCGCTTTGAGCTGCGGGAGATGTTTGGGAGATACAGCTACAGTCACACGGACCCGCGGGGCGTGCGCAGCTCGCGACGGAGATGTTTGTAGAGCCCGGGCTCGCTGCGAAGCGATGAGCGGCGCCCGAACGGCACCGGGCCGCGTGCCGCTCTCTGCAGCTCCGACGCGGCCGGGCGGCTGCCAGAGCCGCACGCGCTGACCGGCGCCGTTCGCGACCACGAGGGCGGATGCTGGCCATCCCGGGCTCTGTGCACATCAGCAGCGCGCGTTCTACGCGCTCCGCTATCCAGGTCTTGGCGCCCCACCTCGAAAGCGCCGTTTTTATCTCGTGCAATCTCGAGCCATGGAGATTAGGCCGAGATCGCTTTGAGCTGCGGGAGATGTTTGGGAGATACAGCTACAGTCACACGGACCCGCGGGGCGTGCGCAGCTCGCGACGGAGATGTTTGTAGAGCCCGGGCTCGCTGCGAAGCGATGAGCGGCGCCCGAACGGCACCGGGCCGCGTGCCGCTCTCTGCAGCTCCGACGCGGCCGGGCGGCTGCCAGAGCCGCACGCGCTGACCGGCGCCGTTCGCGACCACGAGGGCGGATGCTGGCCATCCCGGGCTCTGTGCACATCAGCAGCGCGCGTTCTACGCGCTCCGCTGTCCAGATCTTGGCGCCCCACCTCGAGAGCGCCGTTTTTATCTCGTGCAATCTCGAGCTGTGGAGATTAGGGGAGATCGCTTTGAGCTGCGAGAGATGTTTGGGAGATACAGCTACAGTCACACGGACCCGCGGGGCGTGCGCAGCTCGCGACGGAGATGTTTACAGAGCCCGGGCTCGCTGCGAAGCGGTGAGCGGCGCCCGAACGGCAGGGTAGCGTGTCGACCTAGACTGAACGCGACCGAGCAGCAAGGTACTAGGAGTGGCAGCCCGTGACAGCACCGGCAATACGCTTGGGGAGCGGTAGAGCAACGGCCCTGGTAGTGGTGGGCGAAGCAGCGACGGCGATGGCGATGGCAGTGGCGGCCCTGGCGGCGACGGCCGTGTTGGCGGATGAGGCGGCGAGACGGCGACGGCGACCAGGGCGACCTGTGCAGGCCGTCACGAGTCGTCATAGAGGTCGAAGTACTTTTCATCGCCTTCCAAGCCCTCGTCGAGCACGACCGCGTCCGCGCGCGCTGCCGCCGCAGCCCCTGCTCGGCGGAAGGCGTCCTGCAGCGGATGCTCGTAGGGAAGCGCGTCCTCTCGCGCCGCTGCCCGGAGGAGCCAGCGCAGCCGCACGCGCTCCTCGTGCATGAAGGCCGTGTTTGCTGCGCCGGCGGCCTCTCGCTCCCTCCTGTTCCTGAGCGCTCCGAGCGGGCTGATGCCCGGGCTGGTCGAGAGGTACTCGGCAAAGGACTGCTTGCTCATCAGCTCGTCGTCCGCGCAGTAGGCGAAGAGGCGGCGGCGGAACCAATGCGCCCACGGCCCGCACTGGTAGCCGTCGCTCTGCAAGTTGAGCGTCACGCTGACTAGCTGCCAGCCCGTGTCCTTTGGCGCCGCGTCGAAGGCGTCCCGAACGCGCGCTAGAGGATGCGTGCGGCTGAAAATGCTGGTGCCGAACGGCTCCCAGTGCACGGCGAGCCGCTGAGGCCCGATGAGCGCGACGTTGTGCCAATGGGCGCCGTCGCAGACCTGCTGCAACATCACGCAGTCGCAGAGTTGCAGCACCCGCTGCCCTCCTCTTTGACGGAAGATGCTGCATGCCGAGGCTACGTCGCGGGGGTAGTTGTACCGCAGCGGCGAGCCGGCGCCACTCTCGCTGTCTCGACGCTCGTCTACGTAGTGTGCGTTGGCGAGGTTCGAGTCGCTGAACCACTGCCGGTGGTAAGATGAGATGTAGCCAGCCTCGCCGACGCGCAAGTGGGGCGGTCCCTGTAGCTCTGGCTCCACCAGCTCGACCTCCACCTCCTCGTCGTCGGAGCCGGGTCTGCCGGCAAACAGCGCCTCGTCCTCGACCTCGTCCTCCCCTCCCGTCTCTTCTCCCTTCCTGCGGGCTTCCATGTCTGATATGATCGTGTCCCACGACACCCCCCCACCCTCGGCAGCGGCTCTAGCCGCCTCGGCGTCCTCAGCTATCGCGCTGCGGCGCCAGCGAGGCGCCTCTGCCGAGCCAATCTGGCTCACATCAGAGACAGGGTTCCACAGCTGTTTCATCGACCATGTCTCCACCTTGGTGAAGAACGGGCACTCCACGTACACGTTCTCCTCCTCGGTATCCTCGTGCAGCCAGCGAATCTTTATCTTGATTCTCATGACCGCCTCGACGCGAGCGAGGTACACCTCTGGGTCTCCATCCTGCCGGACGGCCCAGAGGACCTCCACGACGTTCCCCACCTGCAGCGACCTCCGGATCGCCGCTGTGCTCACGCCCTTCTCCAACGGCCAGCCCGGCTGGCGACCCTCGCCCTCCGCCGAGCTCGCCGTCCCGCCGTCGGCCGCGTCGGTCGAGCCTCCGGCCTCGCCCGAGCCCTCCTCCCCCTCCTCCTCCGCCCCGCCCTCCTCCTCCTCCTCCTGCGGCTCGTCCACGAACGCCGAGAGCTCCATGCTGTCGAGCCGGAGATCCTGCAGCTGCGCGGCGAGGCCCTCCTTCTCGGTGACTCGCTTGGACACGTTGTGTCCGAGAGCGGCCGACGCGGCGCTCCAATCGGCTGCCGTTGTCGGGTAAACGTGCCCGCGGTGCCGCGGTGCCGTGAGCCTTGTCGCGCACATCTCCGACCGGCGCTGCGTCCCGTGCAAATCGCGAGAGAGCGTCTTGACGACCGTCTCCGAGAAGAAGTTGCTGATCGGCACAAAGACGCCGACGCTCCAGATGGAATCGTAGACGTCGCTACCGCCCGCCACGTCGCGCAGCTGCGTCGGCCGCTTACAGCTTGCCAGCAGCTTAAAGACGCCGAGGGCGTCGTCCTGAAACCAGAGGCCGACCCCCTCGGTGGCGTTGGTGATCGCAGCGCTAAGCTCGGTGGCATCGGCCGAGTCGGGGAGGTGCGGCAGCATGCTCTGGATTAAGCCTCCCCGGCCCTGCTTCGCGAGCGCCAGCAGCTCCTGCGCCGAGAGAACAGCATGCTCTCCCTCCTCGTCCATAGTTCCCAGCGCCACGAGCGCGGGGTTCGTCCGCCACGCTGCCGTGTGCTGTCGGAAGTAGGTAGAAGCAGCGCGTGCGGCCTTGCGCACGATGGCCCGCACATCCAGGCGCGAGAACGCCGCCGTGTTCTTGGCGACCATTGCTCGCAGCGGCGCAAAGTCGCCCTTCCATGGACGGCCGCCTTCGAGGTCGCGCGTCTCGTCGTTGTTGCTGGCGAGCGCGTCGAGGTAGGCGAGCCGCAGGCGAAGCACGCGGGGTGCCTTGAACGCCACGCCCGGCCCGTCGTTCTCGGTAAACTTGAGGAAGCGGTCGGCCGACCGCTCGCCGTAGATGGCCAGGAACGAGAGCCACACGCGTATCTCCGGGTCGAGGAGCTCAAGCAGCAGCTCGCGCCGCGCGGCGTCCTTGATCGAGCTCACCTTCTCGAGCAGCGTGGCGCCAGTCAGCGCCAGCTTCTCACCGAACTCGTCGGTCTGCTCGGCGTCGGCAAAGAGCCCCTCGTCGCCCTGCGCGCAGAGCCACTCGTGCAAGAGACAGCACACGATCAGCTCGAGGCGCCGCGTCGTGGGCGCCAGCCACATGCACGTGTACACCCAGTAGAGCCACCGGGTGTCCACGCCTCCCGGCATGTCGCCGAGACGCGCCAGCCCCTCCGAGACGCGGACATAGTTTTTGCAGCCCTTCGACTCCTTGACGGCGAGCACGACGTCGGCCAGCAGCTGCGTCAGAGGGAGCGTGGGGAAGCGTTGGAGGGGTGTGTGAGCGCCTCTTACGTCGGGCGTGGCGCGCCTCCGGGATGCGATGCCGTCCGCTTTTGGTGGAGCCCGAGTGCGCGAGCAGGTGCTCGCGGCGGCAGGCACCAGCCGCCTCGCAGACATTCTTCACCTCGTTGTTGATCACGTGGGACAAGCAGAGGATAAAAAAGCACAGCACGTGCTTTGCCGCACGCATCGAGGTCCAGATGTGCGCAAAGGCGCCGCCCTTGTGCCGCTCCGACGCAATGGTCAAGCTGGCATTGGAGGCGGTGCCGTCGGAGACGCAGAAGTCGATCCGATCGATCGGCAGGCCGAGCTCGTTGACCGCGCGCACATTGCTCGCGCCGACGTTCACGCCCGTCTTCTTGTGGCCATCGGCGTCTGGCCGGAGCTTAAAGGTGGCGATCACCTCGCGCTCACGCAGCGCCGGCAGCCTCTCGCACGACAGCGTGACGACGACCCAGGCCACCTTGTTGATCGTCACCTCGTCCCACTGCAGCACGTTTCGCCGCTTCGAGAAGGAGTTCTCCACAGCTCTCTGGCGCTGCACGAACCAGAACTGCATGTCGTGCAAGCGGACCGTCTCGTGGCTCTCGTGCTGCGGCCGCTCCGCCTCCGGGAGCGACTTCAGGTACCGCTTCGAGCAGGCCGTGGCGACGCCCTGCGCGCCACGCAGCGAGAGGGTCTTACCCGCCGCCGAATGGTAGAGCACGTTCGTCTCCTCTCGCCATTCTGGGAGGTAGACCCCCCCCGCTCGGCTCGCGGGCAGCGCCAGGGTCGACGCCGCCGCGCCGGGTCTGCCGGGAGGCCGCCACGAGAGCATGGCCACGTGAGTGCGCCGCATAAGCTCGAGGATCGTCTCGCCGGGCAGGACCTCGAGCGTGCGAAAGCGTCCGGCGCCGCGCAGCAACGAGCAGTATTGTCGCTTAAAGCGCTCGAGCTGGACCCGCAGCTCGCGCTGGAGGCTGGGGCTGCGCTGCAGCACCGCGTGGAGGGCGTGCAGCTCGTACAGCCCGCGGAGGCGCGGGATCTCGTCGGGGTGCCGCGCCTGCTCGGCAAGCGCGCGAAAGCACATTCCTAGCCGGCGAGGCTTGAGTGCGACGGCGTTCTCGTCCATGGTCTCCAAGGCAAACTCGGCCATGGACAGCTGCCAGACGGCATCTGTGCCCCACGCAGCCTGCGGGTTGGAGAGCAGGCGCAGCATGTCGCGCTCCTTCTCCTGCCAGAGCTCGCGCAGATTGGCGAGCGCAGTCTCAATCTCCGCCCGCTGCGCTCGCAGCAGCTGCGACCTCGCCAACGCAGATTGCCTAGTCTGCACACCGGTCTCGAGGGCCTCGAGTGCGTCTGCGGCCGCAGCCTCCGCCAGCTGCACGCTGAGGCTACCCGTCGCGACGCCAGCGGCGCTAGTCAGCTGCGAGTCCTCAAGGCGAGGCCGCTGCGCCGTCCTGGCGCCTGTGGCGGTCGCGGGTGACCGACCTTTGCCGTAGCCGGGTTGGCGAACGCAAGCGGAGGCGGTCTGCCCAGCCTTGGAGGCGGCGGCTGCGGCGGGCAGCCGCGCCTTTTGGACGGTAGACGCGCGAGAGGCCTTTTGAGCGGCTTCAGCTCGCTGACTGCGCGCCTGCTTTTGGCACACCACCCACTCGCCGCCGACAGCCTCGTATTGTGGTGCTTCCGATCGTGACGAGGGCTCAGACGGACCGCGCGAGCCGGCTGCACCAGAGACCTCCTTTGGAGGACGATGAGCGCCTTGCATGACGCCCTTGGCCTTGCGGCCGTGTGCAGGCTTCTTCTTCGGCGCCATTGCGACCTGCTTTGAAGGCGCCTCGAAGCTAGCTCGATGGGTGCGGGTTCATCGCGTGTCTTTTCCTGCGGCCCACTGTGAAATCGGGACCTGAGCTCTCGTTTTAACACAGCCCGTAAGGTGCCCCGCCGGGGTGCCGGTTCGTTTTCCGCCCACGATCATGACCTCGGAGAACGCATTAGCCGCTACAGCGGAAGCTGTGATTTCGGCTACCTCGGCCATTTCGATGTAGCGGCTAATGCGTTTCGCGACATAATCGCTAAAACTCGAGCCAGAGCTATGGGCGCCGAGTTCGCCACCCAATTTGTGTTAAAACGGAAGCAGGGCTTTTGGTTCGTTAACTGTAGACCACACGGACGCGCGGCCGGCGGCTGAGAAGGCCACGCAGCCCCTCTTCCTGGTCACTGACGGGAGCACTGGTCGGCGTGTAGACCCCAAGATGGCGCTGTTCGCGCCTCCCGTCCACCACTACCGATCAGGTGGCCGGCCTGGGTGCCCCCCCGGCGGGTGGGAAAGGGCGCAAAGCTCCGTTTCATTGCCTACCCCTGTAGTTTTGACATAGTGCGCGCGCCCCTCTGTGGTTTTCGTGGGGGGCTCGGCTCTCGTAACTCTCGATTTGTACCGGATTTCGACGTTAGTGGCAAAACTGCGGAACCGAAAATGGCGTTTAATTTTGCGCACCTGCTGTCCGCCGCCTGCGGCGGCGCTCCGCGCCGCTTGGGGCGCCTGCGGCGCCCCCCTGGCAGGTCCTGGCAGCAGTGTGTACGGCTGCGGGTGCGCCCGGTACACAACCGGCGCTCTATGGCGTGCTCCGGGGGAGCACGACTACGCAGTCGTGGCTTCCACACGCGAGAGAGTGGCTTCTATATTTACGAAAACATTGGGCGTCCCTAGTGCCGCATCCATAAGAAGTGACGTCACGGTTCCAGGAGCGCCTGGCGGCACAGCTTAGAGTGGCAGCCGAGCGCCGGCCACGACTATCGAGTCGCCGTCGCGGAGCTGAGGGCTGGCCGACGGGTGGCGCGGTCTTCCTCCCAGCGCCACCCATCGGTCAGCCCTCAGATCGATCGATCGGCGCTCAAAGTCGCTTCAGATCCGAGAAAGCTGCTGGCGCCGCTGCCGATCCCAGCCGCGACGCCAGCAGCTTCCTCTGCTCTCCAATGCGCCGAGAAGCGACGCGGCGGTGCTCGGCTCGCCATGCACGATGACGGCTCCGCTGGGTGCTCGTCGGCCGGTCCGGTGGCACCCTATTCGCGCGTCACCTGCCGGCGTCCCGACGACAGCCTCGCGCCGCCGCTGATGGAGGGGCGGTCGGCGCCACTGCCGCCGCGCCGCCGGTGGGAGAGGCACTGGTGGTGGCCTGGGCGGCCCTCCGCCGCCGCTCGGCGCGCCCGGGCAGCGGTGGCAGCCTGCGCCGCCCCCGCTTCGAGCGGGCGCCCCCGCTTCGAGCGGGCGCCCGGGACGGGTTCCCCGCTTCGAGCGGGGAGATCGGCCTGGGATTCGCTTTCTGAAATGTCTGCCTCCAAAGGGGAAACGCCCAACCTGATCTCAGAATCACTCTGTATTTGTAAAAAACGACTCTCTGAGAGCGCCACAGGGGAGCTCGCGCCGAGATGCCGCAGATAGCGCGAAACACGGAGAAAGAGAGCCGAGATCTGATCGAGGACAACTGCTCGAGGAGCGAACATGGAACAACGCGACCCGGGAGTATCAAAAACTGCGACGGCAGAGCGCCATGCATGCATGCTGCGATGGCGGGGCTAGTTCTGGTTCGAAATGAGCTGCGCCAGCTCTGCATGGTAGACGCCACGGTTGAAGGCGTCGGAGAGCAGCGCGCGGTTCTGCAGGTGCCGCATCACCTGGCCGGGCGTGGCGGAGAGGAGCAGGCAGAGGCCGATGAGCAGCCCGCCTATAGCGAGGAGGGCGGCGCTCTCAGGTTAGGGCGTCCTCTGGGTGAGCGCCGGCGTGGGCAGAGGGGCGAGCTGCCGAGGAGGTAGTCGTACGCCTTGCCGGCGATCAGCACAAAGTACGGCAGCTGGCCAAACGCGTACGGGATGCGGATGAGCGCGGCGGTGAGGTAGGCGGCGGCAACGAAGAGGTGCAGCGCGTGGAGGAGCGAGACGTGGACGCCGACCCAGGGCAGCGCGTAGAACAGGCTGAAGGCGAGCAGCGCCGACGAGAGCAGCCGCAGAAGCACGGGCCGAGCGCGCAGCAGCAGCGGCATCCACAGGAAGGCGAGGACGATGGCGAGGGTGCCACCGACCAGCAGCGCGGCGAGCTGCAGCTCGTCGAGCAGCGCGCCCGACGCGATGGCGCGCCGCGAGACGGAGACGAGGATGCCGACGCTGGTGAGGCCATACCGCACGCCGGGCAACAGGATGAAGGCCTTCTTTGCCCACGAGCCCGTCTGCAGGTACTCTCGCTCCTCGCGCCACCACGCCTCCCAGCTCGTCGTCACTGACGAGTCGAGCCGCTCCATCCAGCGCAGCCACTGCCACAGGTCCTCCAAGTTCTTCTTCATGTCGAAGGCGAGCGGGTTGAACCAGAACGGAGAGAAGAGCCACGCAAAGGCGACCGCCCAGATGGACCAGCAGGTGCGCAGGTAGGCCGGCCCGCCGCCAACCTCCTTCCACGCGCCGAGGGTCCACAGCAGGATCAGCCCCCACACCAGCTCGAAGCCGTTGTAGAGGTGTGAGCCTGCGGGGCGGCGGCGGGGGAGGGGGGAGTGGAGGGGGGGAGACGAGCGCTCGCCGGCGACCGCACGCGGCCACTCTAGCCGGCGCTGGCAGCGCGACTCTGCTGCGCACCTGAGTAGAAGCGGTAGAGCTCCGCGAACTCCTCGTGCCGCATCACAAAGCCGCGCCCCGTCGGGCGGTACTTTGCGCCGCCGTACTTGAGCGTCGAGTCAAAGTAGTACGCCTGCGTCGGGGCAGGGCGCTGGGTGCCTCCGTGCCGAGGGCCCAGGGGAGGGGGGGGGGGGGGTGCGCCTTTGTCCCCATGTGGAACATAAAGAAGAGGAGCGAGCCCGACACGTTGACGCGCCACATCTCGAGCAGCGCGCGCACGACGCCGTGCTCGACGGCGAGGTAGCAGAGGATGGGCACGTTGAGGAGCAGGCCTGCGCCGCTCGCGTGCCGGGGGGGTGGGTCCCCACCCGTGCGGGTAGGGGGGGGGGCGGGGGGGGGGGGGCGCCGAGCTGGACGACCCACTGCGCGTTGAGCAGGTCGGCGACCGGCACGCCGACGTCCAGCTGGAGCAGGTGCGGCAGCAGCGTCACGTAGAGGAAGAAGAAGAGCGCGAAGACGGTGGCGGCGTTGTTGAAGTAGAAGCCGGGGCCCGAGTAGTAGAAGGAGAAGGAGCGCGTCAGGTCGAGCCGTTGCGCGATCCGGAAGACGTCGCGCGAGAGGCACTGCTCGGCGTTGCCCGAGGCCAGCTTCGCCTCGAACTTGTAGATTTGCTGCATGCCGACGTCGCGGCCCTTGCCCACCTGCACATACTCGGCGTACGGCACGGTGCCGCCCCGCAGCGTCGTGTTGAAGCCAGCGTAGACGTCCTCCGACAGGTTGATGCCCTTGGACGCCTTCGAGACGCCTCCCGTCGACATGGCGAAGATCTTGTCGAAGACGTCGGGGTGGCCGTAGTGCTGCCGGATGTGGAGGGGGTCCGAGAGGACGCGCTGCGTGAGAGTGACGAAGCAGCCCTCCTGCAGGGCCATGTACGACGCCAAGCTCGACAGCTCGCCCGTGAAGATGTGCTCGCGGAAGCCGACGATCGTGGCGGTCGGGTGGATGCGGAACTCCTGCAGCAAGTTGCGCATCTTGAGCGCCTCCTCGAAGTAGCCGCTCTGGTTCATGTCGATGGCCTGGATCGTCTCGCCTCGCGTGAAGATGACGGCGTGGTTCTGGTTCTCGGGCTTGCCCTCGCCAATCATGATGTCGCCTACAGCGGGCGCGCACGCGCACCGGCTGAGGGGTGCGGGGTGCGGGCCGGTTGTCCTCCCCCAGGGGCTGCTGTGCCGGGTAGCTGCACACGGTAGACCTGCTGCACCGCCTCCTCGCCGCCGTCGGAGCAGCCCTTGATGAGGACCGAGTAGTAGCGGATCGTCTCGCGCAGCGCGAGCGTGCCGTCTGGCTCGCGCACCTTGGTGAGGGTCGACGTCTTGTCGACGTAGGCCACGCGCAGGTTGGGGAAGCGCTGCAGCAGAAACTCGGTGTCGGCCGCCTTTGGGTCGCGGTTGCGCTTGTGCGTGCCGTAGAGCTGGCACGAGACGACGTACGAGTACTTTGAGCGAACCAGCTGCTCCAGCGACTCGCCCTCGTACCCCTCCCACCGCGCCAGCAGCCGCAGCGCACGCTCGTGGCACATCATGCCTGCGGCGACGCGCGGGTGGCGGGGGCGGGGGGAGGCGGAGGGGGGCGGTGAGCGCCAGGGCGCGTGCGGTGCGGCGGTGCGCTCCCTGGACGGTGCGCATCTCGGCTGCCATCTCGGCTACCATCTCGGCTGCACTCGGCTGTCATCTCGGCTGCATCGACGGCGCGCCCTCGACAGTGCGCATCAGGGTCTGGCCGCGGAAGGAGGCCCACGCGCGGAGCTCGAGCACGAGGTCCTTCTCCTTGAAGAGCCGCGCCTCCTCGCTAGCCTTGACGCCGACCCGCTCGAGGAAGTTGGACCACTCGTCCGGGTGCACCTGCTCGCAGCTCCAGGTGTGAAGAGGCGCTGTTCGCAGGGCTCGAGGAAGTTGGACCGCTCGTCCGGGCGCACCGTCTTGAGAAAGTAGAGGACCGAGACGCCGTCCTCGTTCTTGGCGACGAGCTCGCGCATGCCGAAGAGGATGTCTTCTGCGCAGAAGGGCGTGAGGGTCGACTGCGAGAGGGCCTCCTCCACCGGCGGAGCCTCGGGCATCGCCATGAAGAGCGAGCCGACGAACCAGCGCAGCCGGCGCAGCACCTCGGGGTGGCGCGGCTCCGCGTCGAGCTGCGCCGTGACGCAGAGCGAGACTAGCCCCTCCAGCCGGCGGGTGGCGGGCTGGCCGAGCGCGCGCCAGGCCGGCGGCTGGTCGGCGAGTAGCGTGGCGAGTATGCGCTCCTTTGCGTACGCCTCGTCCCAGAAGAAGCCTTGCGGCGTGAACTTGAGCGCCTCGATGGTCGAGTCGAGCTCGCCCAGCGCACCCTTGAGCGCGTCGAGCACGCCGCGCAGCCCGTCCACCACCGCCGACGGGGACGCGTCGGCCGACAGCACCTTGCTCGGCGCAGCAACCGGGGGCGGCGGCGTCCCCCGCAGCGGGTCGAAGTCGGCGCCGGCGGGGGCGCCGGCAGGCATGCGTGGCGGCCGCATGCGGCGGGGCGGCGAGGGCGGCGGCGCGGGCGCATCGCTTGGGTCGACGAGCTTGAGCTTGAGGAGGGAGCGAGCGAGGCCGACGATGGCGGTGGCGAGGGCGGGGAGCTTGGAGGGGACGAGCACGTCGAGGAGGGTGTGGCTCGTCTGCGGGGCAGGAAGGGGTGGGTGGGTGGGGGGGGAGGGGGGGAACTGGGCAAGCAGGAGGGGGCAGGGGAGGGGAGCCGTGGTGGTGGTGGTGGTGGTGGTGGTGGGGTGGGGGGGGGGGGTGGCGGCGGAGGCGGCTAGGAGTGCTGCGGCGTGTGCGCGACGCCGCCGGTGCGTGCGTGCGCGGCCGTTCCGCGCGCCTGGTGGCGGAGCAGCCCCTGCGCGACGGAGCCGATGGCGGCCTCGTGCCTCGGCCCGAGCAGGGTGGAGAGGAGCCAGCTCGACAGCTCTGCAAACTCGCGCAGGGCGAACCGCGCTGGCCGGTCGGCGTCGATGGAGGCCACGAGCGAGCGCTCGATCTGCGAGCGCTTGCGTGGCGGCTGGTATCGAGCCGCGTCCGACGCCTGCCGGGTGGAGCGGGTCTCGGGTGAGCTCGGGGCGACCTCGGGCGATCTCGGGTCCTCTCGCCGCCGACGTGCTCCTGCCGGACGAAGTGGAAGGCCTCGGCGAGTTTGCCGGCGGTGACGAAGCCGGGCAGGTAGACGCAGCACGAGAAGGCGGAGCCGTGCCACCCGTTGAAGGCGAGCAGCGCGTGCTCGCGCCCCGAGACGAGGTCCGCCTGCGGGGTCGTGCCGCGGACGCGTCAGAGCGGGGGGGCGGGGGGGCGAGGAGCCGCCCATACGAGGCCCGAGACGAGGCCCGCGCCTTGCGCAAGTCGTCGATGATGCCGTTCCACGCCTCGGCAAAGTAGCGCATCCGCTCGCTCGCCTCGCCGCCGCCCACGTGCTCGCATCCCGCCGCCGAGAGCAAGCCGACGCGCAGGTCGTCCAGCGGGCGCGCCGGCGCGGTGCCGGCGGCGGCGACGCGCGTCTTTGTGCCTCGCGGCGGCGGTCCGCCGGGAGGGACGTACTCGGGCGAGCCGCGGTGCGTCGCGCTCGAGAGGACCTGGCGGTGGGGGGGGCGACGGTATCTCGGCTGCATCTCGGCTGCGTCTCTCGCCTTGCGTCTCGAGAGAGTGATTCATCGCTGAGTCGGGCCTTCAGCCGCCGGTCAGTGAGCAAGAGCGAACCTTGCGGTTGAAGGCGTCCGACGCGTCGAAGAAGCGCTCGCGCAACGTGGCAAAGTCGGGCACCTCGCCGATGTGCAGCGTCCAGCCCTTGATCGTGCCGTACGCGGCCTGCCACAGTATGAACCAGATCTGCAGGTCGAGCAAGTACATCAGCACAACAGGCGCCCAGTGCAGTGCGACGACGATCACGTTGGGCACAGCGCCCAAGTCGTGCCCCGGCCACCTACCGCAAGCACGCTCTCTCGCAACCACCGCGAAGTCCCCCCCCCCCCCCCCCTCCGTGCCTCTCGGCGGTCTCGTCTAGTCCGATCTCCCGCAATCTCGCGTCTAGTCACCAGGAAGAGAGGTCCAGAGTCCACGCGTCGCGCGTCGGCCGCACGAGCGGGCGCAGCTGGAAGGCGTACGAGAAGGAGAGCTTGAAGCAGAGCAGCGTGAACCTGCCCGCAGCGAGGCAGAGCTGTGGATGCCGCGGCGTCGCGAGAGGGAGAGCGGCCGGGCGGGGAGAGGGAGAGCGGCCAGGCCCGCACCAAAAGATGTCGTACTCGAGCACGGGGCCGCACCCGCCCGCGTCGCCGTCCCGCACGTGGACGTCGCGCCTGCTCGAGTCAGAGCTCACATCCGTGAGCAGTGGGCGCATGCGCCGCGGCCCGCGCGCGTGGGCGTGGTCGCCCGACGTACAGCCGGTTGAGCGGCTCGAGCAGGTCGGCGAGAGACTTGAGCGGGCCGCGCCAGGAGCGGACGTGCGACGAGACGCATGGCACGCAGTTGGCGAGCAGCACCTGAAAAGGGGGGGGGGTATGGGGG